GGACCCCCAAAACTATCCCAGGGACCCCCAAAATGACCCCAGGGACCCCTAAATGTGTCTTAGACCCCAAATTGGCACCCAGAGACCCCCAAAGTGACCCCAGGACCCCCAAATTGCACCCAGGGACCCCCAAAACGAGCCCAGGAGGAGGAGCAGCAGCAGCTGCAGGAGGGGCCATGGCCTGGGGAGAAACAGAGGGAATGGGCCAGGGGCACCCTAAAACCCCACACAGGGCCAGGGATCCCAAAATTGCACACAAAGAGCTCCAAATTGCACCCAAAAGGCCCCGAACGACCCCGGATGCCTCAAGTTGGCACCAAAACCCACCCTGGGACCCCAAAATGACTCTGGGACCCCATAAATGACCCCAGGACCCCTAAATGTGATTTGAGACCCCCAAATCGACTCCAGGATGCCTATAATGAGCCCAAGGACCCCTAAAGTGACCCCAGGACCCCAAATTGCACCCAGGGACCCCAAATGCACCCAGAGAGCCCCCGAACGACCCCGGACGCCTCAAATTGGCACCAAACCAACCCTGGGACCCCCAAATGACCCCAGGACCCCTAAATGTGTCTTAGACCCCCAAATTGGCACCCAGAGACCCCCAAAGTGACCCCAGGACCCCCAAAATGCACCCAAGGAACCCAAAATTGCACCCACAGAGCCCCCAAATGACCCCTGGGTGCCTCAAGTTGGCACCAAAACCCACCCTGGGACCCCAAAATGACTCTGGGACCACCTAAAATGACTCTGGGACCCCTAAATGACCCCTAGGGACCCCATAAATGTGTCTGGGACCCCAAATTGGCACCCAGAGACCCCCAAAGTGACCCCAGGACCCCCAAATTGCACCCAGAGAGCCCCTGAACGACCCGGACGCCTCAAGTTGGCACCAAACCCACCCTGGGACCCCCAAAATGACTCTGAGACCCCCAAAATGACACCAGAGACCGCCTAAATGACCCCAGGGACCCCCTAAATGTGTCTGGGACCCCCAAATTGCCACCCAGAGACCCCCCAAAGTGACTCCAGGACCCCCAAATTGCACCCAGAGAGCCCCCGGAACGACCCCGGGACGCCTCAAGTTGGCACCAAAACCAACCCTGGGACCCCCAAAATGACCCAGGAACCCCTAAACGAGCCCAGAACTCCCTAAATGACCCCAAGGACCTCTAAATGACCCCAGGGACCCCTAAATGACCCCAGGGACCCCCAAAGTGACCCCAGGACCCCCAAATTGCACCCAAGGACCCCCAAATTGCACCCAAGGACCCCCAAATTGCACCCAGAGAGCCCCCAAAACGACCCCGGGACGCCTCAAGTTGGCACCAAACCCACCCTGGGACTCCCAAAATGACTCTGGGACCCCTAAATGAGTCTGGGACCCCCTAAATGTCCCCAGGGACCCCATAAATGTGTCTGGGACCCCCAAATTGGCACCCAGAGACCCCCAAAGTGACTCCAGGACCCCCAAATTGCACCCAGAGAGCCCCCGGAACGACCCCGGGACGCCTCAGTTGGCACCAAAACCAACCCTGGGACCCCCAAAATGACCCAGGAACCCCCAAAATGAGCCCAGAACTCCCTAAATGACCCCAGGGACCCCCTAAATGTGTCTTAGACCCCCAAATTGGCACCCAGAGAGCCCCCAGAACGAGCCCGGGACGCCTCAAGTTGGCACCAAAACCCACCCTGGGACCCCCAAAATGACTCTGGGACCCCATAAAGTGACCCAGGGACCCCCAAAATGACCCCAGGGACCCCAAAACTATCCCAGGGACCCCTAAATGATCCAGGGACCCCAAAGTGACTCCAGGACCCCAAATTGCACTCCAGAGAGGCCCCGAACGACCCTCGACGCCTCAAGTTGGCACCAAAACCAACCCTGGGACCCCCAAATGACTCTGAGACCCTAAAATGTGTCTGGGACCCCAAAATGACCCCAGGAACCCCAAAATGACCCCAGGACCCTCTAAATGACCCTAGGGACCCCCAAATTGGCACCCACAGACCCCAAAGTGACCCCAGGACCCCAAATTGCACTCCAGAGAGCCCCGGAACGACCCCCGGATGACCCAATTGGCACTAAAACCCACCCTGGGACCCCAAAATGACCCCAGGGAGCTCCCTAAATGATCCCAGGACCCCTAAAGTGACCCCAGGGACCCCCAAAATGTGTCTGGGACCCCCAAAATGACCCTCAGGACCCTCTAAATGACCCCAGGGACCCCCAAATTGGCACCCACAGACCCCCAAAGTGACTCCAGGACCCCCAAATTGCACCCAAGGAACCCCCAAATTGGAACCCAGAGACTCCCAAAGTGACCCCAGGAACCCCTAACGGATCCTGAGAACCCCCAAAGTGACCCCAGGACCTCCCAGAGCCCCTGGAGACCCCCTAAATCTCCCCTCCAATGGTCCAAATGAGCCCTCCCAGATCCCCTCAAAACCCCTCGGACCCCCAAACCCCTCAAATTCCTCCCAACCCCCCATAGGACCCCTAAACCCCCCCAGGACCCCCAACCCTCCCCAGGATCCCCAAATGTCCCTCAAATCCCCTCCAAATTCACCCCAGGACTCCCCAAATCCCCCGGACCCCAAAATCCCCCAAATCCCCCGATTGGTCCCTCCCAGACCCTCCAAGACCCCCCAAATTCTCTGTGGGACCCTCCAAACCCCATCCAGGACCCCCAAATCCCCCCAGATACCCTCAAATTCCCCCAAGATCCCCCAAATCTCCTCAAATACCCAAAAGCCCCCCAACCCCCCTCAAACCCCCAGGAGCCCCCAAATTCCTGGCTCGAGACCCTCAAATTCCCCCAAAATCCCCCAGATCCTTCCTGACCCCCCAAATCCCCCCCAAATCCACCCCAAGATCCTCCAAATCCCCTCAAATCCCCCCAAATCCCCTAGGACCCCCTAAATCCCCCACAAAATCCCTCGACCCCCAAACTCCCTCGAATCCCCTCCAGGACTCCCCCAAATCCCCCCAACCTCCCCAAATCCCTCAAATTCCCAAATCCCCCAAAGCCCCCCAAACCCCTCCCAAATCCACCTCTGACCCCCCAAATCCCCCAAGACCCCTCAAACCCCCACTGGACCCCAAAATCTCCCAAACTCCCCCCAAATCCCCCAGGACTCCCCAAATCCCCCTGACCCCCCAAAATCCACCCCAGGACCCCCCAAATCCCCTCAGATCCCCCCCAAACCCCAAATCCCTCCAGGACCCCCAAATCCCCCAAAATCTCCCCCAAATCCCCCAGGACACCCCCAATAACCCCCCCAAATCCCCAATTGGTCCCTCCCAGACTCTCCAAGACACCCCCAAATCCCCCAGGACCCCCAAATCCCCCCCAAATCCCCTCAAACCCCCCACTGGACCCCAAAATCCCCCCAAATCCCCCCAAAATGCCCCCAGGACCCCCAAATCCCCCCAAAAATCCCTGGACCCCCAAATCCCCCCCAATCCCCCAACCCTCCCCAGATACCCCTCAGGACCCCCAAAATCCCCTCAACCTCCAAATCCCCTCGACCCCCATATTCCCCCCAAATCCACCCCAGAACCCCCCCAAGACTCCCCAAACCCCCCAGGACCCCTAAAATCCTCCCCAATCCTCCTAACCCCCCCAAATCCCCTCGATTAGTCCCTCCCCAGACCCTCCAAGACCGCCCCAAATGCCCCCAAAATCTCCCCCTAAACCCCCAAATCCACCCCTAGGACCCCCAAAATCCCCCCCAAATCCCCCCAAACCCCCCAAATCCCCTAAAATCCCCCAAGTCCTCCCAAAATCCTCTCCCCAAATCCCCCCAGGACCCCCAAATCCCCCAAATTCCCCAAGTCTCCCCCCAAATCCTCCCAGGACCTCCCAAATACCCCCAGCCCCCCCAAATCCCCCCCCAAATCCACCCCAGGACCCCCCAAATTCCCTCAAGACCTCCCTAAATCCCCCTAAACCCCCCAGGACCCTCCCCAATCCCCCAACCCCCCCAACTCCACCCCAACCCCCCTAAACCCCCAGGACCCACCAAATTCCCCCAAGCTCCCCCAAATGCCCCCTCAAATCGCCCCCCACACCACCCCAGGACCCCCTAAATCTCCCAAGTCCCCCCTCAAACTCCCCCAAATCCCCCCAGGACCTCCCAAATACCCCCCAAATACCCCCAAACCTCTCCCAAATCCCCCAAATCCCCCTAAGCCCCCCAAATGCCCCTCAAATCGCCCCCTAAAATCACCCCTGACCCCCAAATCCCCTGAGCTCTCCCCAAATCCTCCCAAATCCCCCAAGACCCCCCAAAATCCCCCAACCCCCCCAAATCCCTGATTAGTCCCTCCCCAGACCCTCCAAGACCGCCTCAAATGCCCCCAAAATCCCCCTAAACCCCCAAATCCACCCCAGGACCCCCCAAATCCCCTCAAATTCCCCAGGACCCCCAAATCCCCCCAGCCCCTCCCCCAAATCCCCCCAAATCCACCCCAGGACCCCCCAAATCCACCCTCAACCCCCCCAGGACCCACCAAATTCCCTAAGCCTCCCCAAATGCCCCTCAAATCGCCCCCAAATCTCCCCAAGTCCCCCCCAAATCCCCCCCAGGACCTCCCAAATACTCCCCCAACCCCCCAAATCCCCCCAGGACCCCCAAATCCCCCCGAACCCCCAAATGCCCCCAGGCCCCCCCAAATGCCCCTCAAATCCCCCCAAATTCACTCCTGACCCCCAAATCCCACCGAGCTCTCCCAAATCCCCTCAAAATCCCCCTAAATCCTCCCAACCCCCAGGACTCCCCAAAATCCCCACCTGACCCCAAATCCCCTCAAATCCCTCCAACTCTCCCACATCCCCCATTGGTCCCTCCCAGACCCTCCAAGGCCGCCCCAAATCCTCTCCAAACCCCCCAAATCCCCTCAAATCCCCTAAACCCCCTAATCCCCTAAAATCCTCTCCCTAAAATCTCCCCAAGTCCCCTCAGGACCCCCAAATCCCCCCATTCCCCCTCACCTCAGGTTTGGTCGTGCCTCCTCGCGCCGCTTCTTTCCCTGCCCTGCCTCCGCGTGCCTCAAGCTCCCGCCCCTTTTAATGACTGACTAATCAGCGCCTTCCTCCTTCCTTAACCCTGCCCTCCACCCAAACCCACCAATCCGCGCCTCGTTTTCCGGGTGGGAGGCACTTCCGGGTGGGATGATCCAATGGGAGCGGAGGGGCGTGGCCTGAGGAGTGAAGCCACGCCCACCGCGGGATTTAGGGGACCGCAGCCCCAAAAATTGGGGGCGGGGCTTAAATGGGGAGGGGCGGGGTTTGTTCGGTTGGATGGAAAGGGCGTGGCTTGAGAAAAGGGGCGTGGTTTTGCCAAAAGGGGCGTGGCTTTAAGCGGGAAATCCCCAAATTGGGTGGTTTTTGGGTGGTTTTTTGGGGGGGTCACGAGGTCCAAAGTGGGGGTGGGGAGGGTCAAGGGTGGCCCAATCAGCTGAGGAGCCTCGAGGGGGCGTGGCCTCTCGGCCCCTCCCCACCCCTCGGCAGTGGCCGCCATGGAGCCCCCCGGGACCCTCGGCCTCCTCCTCCTCCTCCTCCTCCTCCTTGGGATGGGTGAGGCCCCTCCCCACCCTGGGGTCCCCATGACCCTCCCCACCCTGCTGAACCCCCTGCCCCTCCCCCACCCTGTGGAACCCTCCCTGCCCCTCCCCACCCGGGCTCCCATGACCCTCCCCCACCCTGTGGAACCCTCCCTGCCCCTCCCCCACCCTGGGGTCCCCCACCCCTCCCCACCCTATTGACCCCACCCTGCCCCTCCCCCACCCTTTGGGGTCACCCCAGCCCTTCCCCACCCTGTGAACCCCTCCTGCCCCTCCCCCACCCTTTGGGGTCCCTTCCTGCCCCTCCCCACCCCTGTGAGACCCCACTCTGCCCCTCCCCACCCCGGGGTCCTCCTGCCCCTCCCCCACCCTGGGGTCCAGCCCTCCCCACCCTTTAGGACTCCCTGCCCCTCCCCCACCCCAGGGGTCTCCGTGACCCTCCCCACCTCTGCTGAACCCCACTCTGCCCCTCCCCACCCTGGGTAACCTCAGTGCCCCTCCCCACCCCTGGGTACTCCTCTGCCCCCTCCCCACTCCTGTGGGACCCACCCTGCCCCTCTCCCACCTCTTGGGTCTCCAGCCCCTCCCCACCCCTTGGGGTCTCCTGCCCCTCCCCACTCCTGTGAGACTCCACCTGCCCCTCTCCCACCTCTTGGGGTCCTCCAGCCCCTCCCCCACTCCTTGGGGTCCTTCCTGCCCTCCCCACCCCCAGGCCCCAAAAGGGAAGTGAAGGGACAGGGTGGGGTGGGGAGGGAATGAGGGGGAGGAAATTAGGTCCAGCCCCTCCCACCCCAAGGATGCGATTCAGCCCCTCCCCACCCCAGGTGACCTCCCCACCCCAAGAGTTGCAATCCAGCCCCTCCCCACTCCTCAGCCCTCCCCCACCCCAGGAGATGGTCCAGCCCCTCCCCACCATCAATGACTTTCCCAGCCCTCCCCACTCTTCTCAGCCCCTCCTCCACCCTTACGATCTTCCAGCCCCTCCCCATCCCAGGAGATGAAACCAGCCCCTCCCCACTTCTCAGCCCCTCCCCACTCCTTAATGACCCCTCAAGGGTGGGGAGGGGCTGATTTGTTTGATGGGTGGGGAGGGGCTGATTTGTTTGATGGGTGGGGAGGGGCTGATTTGTTTGATTTTGGGGTGGGGAGGGGCTGATTTGTTTGATGGGTGGGGAGGGGCTGATTTGTTTGATGGGTGGGGAGGGGCTGATTTGTTTGATGGGTGGGGAGGGGCTGATTTGTTTGATTTTGGGGTGGGGAGGGGCTGATTTGTTTGATGGGTGGGGAGGGGCTGATTTGTTTGATTTTGGGGTGGGGAGGGGCTGATTTGTTTGATTTGGGGTGGGGAGGGGCTGATTTGTCTGATGGGGTGGGGAGGGATGATTTGTTTGATGGGTGGGGAGGGGCTGATTTGTTTGATGGGGTGGGGAGGGGCTGATTTGTTTGATGGGGGTGGGGAGGGGCTGATTTGTTTGATTTTGGGGTGGGGAGGGGCTGATTTGTTGGATGGGTGGGGAGGGGCTGATTTGTTTGATTTTGGGGTGGGGAGGGGCTGATTTGTTGGATGGGTGGGGAGGGGCTGATTTGTTTGGATGGGTGGGGAGGGGCTGATTTGTTTGATTTTGAGGGGGAGGGGCTGATGTGTCCTTGCCCTCCCCACCCCCTTTGTTTGATTTTGGGGTGGGGAGGGGCTGATTTGTCTGATGGGGGTGGGGAGGGGCTGATTTGTTTGGATGGGTGGGGAGGGGCTGATTTGTCTGATGGGGGTGGGGAGGGGCTGATTTGTTTGGATGGGTGGGGAGGGGCTGATTTGTTTGATTTTCGGGTGGGGAGGGGCTGATTTGTTTGATTTGGGTGGGGAGGGGCTGATTTGTTGGATGGGTGGGGAGGGGCTGATTTGTTTGGGTGGGGAGGGCTGATTTGTATGATGGGTGGGGAGGGGCTGATTTGTTTGATGGGGTGGGGAGGGGCTGATTTGTTTGATTTGGGTGGGGAGGGCTGATTTGTTTGATTTTGGGGTGGGGAGGGGCTGATTTGTCTGATGGGTGGGGAGGGGCTGATTCGTTTGATTTTGGGGTGGGGAGGGGCTGATTTGTTTGATTTGGGGTGGGGAGGGGCTGATTTGTCCCTGCCCCTCCCCACCCCCTTTGTTTGATTTGGGTGGGGAGGGCTGATTTTTCCCCTGCCCCTCCCCACTCTCTGTGTGTGGTGGGGAGGGGCTGATTTGTCCCTGCCCTCCCCACCCCCTCTTGTTTCCCTCCAGGCTCAGCCTCGGCCCAGACAGGTGGGGAGGGGCACGGGGGGCATTTGGGGTCACTGGGGGTCATTTGGGGTCATTGGGGGTCTGGGGGTCCTTTGGGGTCCTTTGGGGTCATTTGGGGGTCTGGGGGTCACTGTGGGGTCATTTGGGGTCATTTAGGGTCATTTGGGGTCTTTTGAGGTCACTGGGGATATTTGGGTCATTTGAGGTCACTGGGGTCCCTGGGGTCATTTGGGGGTCTGGGGTCACTTTGGGATTTTTTGTGGTAATTTGGGGTCATTTGGGGTCATTTGGGGGTCTGGGGTCATTGGGGGTCTGGGGGTCATTTGGGGTCACTGGGGGTCATTTGGGGTCCTTTGGGGTCACTGGGGGTCATTTGGGGTCTTTGGGGTCATTGGGAAGGTCATTTGGGGTCTTTGGGGTCATTTGAGGTCACTGGGGTTAATTTGGGGTCATTTGGGGTCTTGGAAGGGTCATTTGGGGGTCTGGGGTCACTAGGGCCATTTGGGGTCTTTGGGGTCATTGGGGGTCATTTGGGGTCTTTGGGGGTCCTTTGGGGTCATTTTGGGGTCCCTGGGGGTCATTTGAGGTCCCTGGGGGTCATTTGGGGTCCCTGGGAGTCACTAGGGGTCATTTGGGGTCTTGGAAGGGTCATTTGGGGGTCTGGGGTAACTGGGAGGTCTTTTGGGGTCATTTGGGGGTCGGGGGTCATTTGGGGTCTTTGGGGGTCCTTTGGGGTCACTGGGGGTCATTTGGGGTCCTTTGGGGTCATTTAGGGAGTCTGGGGATTAATTTGGGTTCATTTGGGGTCACTGGGGTCATTTGGGCATGGGGGTCATTGGGGTCCCTGGGGATATTTGGGGTCATTTGGGGTCACTGGGAGGAAATTTGGGGTCATTTGGGGTCTTTTGGGGTCCCTGGGGGTCCTTTGTGGTCATTTAGGAGTCTGGGGGTTAATTTGGGGTTATTTGGGGTTGGAGGGGTCATTTGGGGTCATTTGGGGGTCTGGGGGTCACTTTGGGATCTTTTTGGGGTCATTTGGGGTCATTTGGGGTCACTGTGGGTCATTTGGGGGATATTTGGGGTCATTTTTGGTCATTTGGGGTCTTGGAAGGGTCATTTGGGGGGTCTGGGGGTCATTGGGGTCATTTGGGGTCATTGGGGGGGTCCTTTGGGGTCATGGGGGTTTAATTTGGGGTCCTTTGGGGTCATTTTGGGGTCCCTGGGGGTCATTTAGGGTAATTTGGGGTCATGGGGGTCATTTGGGGTCACAGGGGGTCATTTGGGGTCATTTGGGGGTCTGGGGGGTTAATTTGGGGTCATTTGGGGTCATTTAGGAGGGTCTGGGGGTCACTTTGGGGTAATTTGGGGTCATGGGGGGTCATTTGGGGTCTCTGTGGGGATATTTGGGGTCATTTGGGGTTGGAGGGGTCATTTGGGGTCACTGGAAGGAAATTTGGGGTCCCTGGGGGGTCATTTGGGGTCACACTGTGGGGGGTCAGGGGGTCACAGTGGGGTCACTGTGAGGTCACTGTGAGGTCACAGTGTCCCCCCCTCCCCCCAGAGTGCCCGGGGTGGGGGTCCCTGGGTGGTCCCTCGGTGGGGTCACAGTGGGGTCACAGGGGGGGGTCACAGTGTCCCCTCCCCCAGAGTGCCCGGGTGGGGGTCCCTGGGTGGTCCCTCGGTGGGGTCACAGGGGGGTCACAGGGGGGTCACTGTGGGGTCACTGTGGGGTCACAGTGAGGTCACTGATCCCTCCCCTCCCCCCAGAGTGCCCGGGGTGGGGGTCCCTGGGTGGTCCCTCGGTGGGGTCACTGTGGGGGGGTCAGGGGGGGTCACTGATCCTGCCCCTCCCCCAGAGTGCCCGGGGTGGGGGTCCCTGGGTGGTCCCTCGGTGGGGTCACTGGGAGGGGTCAGGGGTCACTGTGGGGGTCAGGGGTCAGGGGGTCACAGGGGTCACTGATCCCACCCTCCCCAGAGTGCCCAGGGTGGGGTCCCTGGGTGGTCCCTCGGTGGGGTCACTGTGGGGTCACTGTGGGGTCACTGTGAGGTCACAGGGGGGTCACAGGGGGGGTCCCTGGGTTTGGGGTCACTGTGAGGTCACAGGGGGGTCACAGGGGGGTCACTGACCCGCCCCTCCCCCCAGAGTGCCCATGGGGGTCCCTGGGTGGTCCCTCGGTGGGGTCACTGTGGGGTCACTGTGGGGTCACAGGGGGGTCACAGGGGGGTCACTGTGGGGTCACTGTGGGGGGTCACAGGGGGTCACTGATCCCTCCCTCCCCCAGAGTGCCCGGGGTGGGGTCCCTGGGTTTGGGGTCACAGGGGGTCACTGTGGGGGTCGGGGGTCCCTGGGTTTGGGGTCACAGGGGGGTCACTGTGGGGTCACAGTGGGGTCACAGATCCCTCCCCTCCCCCCAGAGTGCCCGGGGTGGGGGTCCCTGGGTTTGGGGTCACAGGGGGGTCACTGTGGGGTCACTGTGGGGGGTCAGGGGGTCACTGTGGGGTCACTGTGGGGTCACAGTGGGGTCACTGATCCCTCCCCTCCCCCCAGAGTGCCCAGGGTGGGGGTCCCTGGGTGGTCCCTCGGTGGGGTCACTGTGGGGGGTCAGGGGTCACAGTGGGGTCACAGGGGGTCACTGATCCTTCCCTCCCCAGAGTGCCCGTGGGGGTCCCTGGGTGGTCCCTCGGTGGGGTCACTGTGGGGGGTCAGGGGGTCACTGTGGGGTCACTGTGAGGTCACTGTGAGGTCACAGGGGGGTCACAGATCCTGCCCCTCCCCCCAGAGTGCCCAGGGTGGGGGTCCCTGGGTGGTCCCTCGGTGGGGTCACTGTGGGGGGTCAGGGGGTCACAGTGGGGTCACAGTGTCCTCCTCCCCCCAGAGTGCCCGTGGGGTCTCTGGGTGGTCCCTCGGTGGCCGCTCTCGTTGTGGTCGATGTCGCTCTCAGCGTCGTCGCCGCCGCAGCCGCCTTCTGGGCTGGGGGGAGGGGCACAGGTGAGGGGGAGGGGCCTGATGGGAGGGGAGGGGCCTAGGGAGGGGAGGGGCATTCTGGGCCAGGGAGGGGCACAGGTAGGGGAGGGTTCTGGGGAGGGGCATTCTGGGCTGGGGGAGGGGCACAGGTAGGGGAGGGGTTTTATGGGGAGGGGCCTGGGGAGGGGAGGGGCATTCTGGGCCGGGGGAGGGGCACAGGTAGGGGAGGGGCTGGGGGAGGGGAGGGGCATTCTGGGCCGGGGGAGGGGCACAGGTAGGGGAGGGGCTGAGGGGAGGGGGAGGGGCATTCTGGGCCGGGGGAGGGGCACAGGTAGGGGAGGGGCTGGGGGAGGGGAGGGGCATTCTGGGCTGGGGAGGGGCAAAGGTGAGGGGAGGGGCTGGGTGGAGGAGGGGCTTTATGGGAGGGGAGGGGCTTTATGGGAGGGGAGGGGCCGGGAGGGGGCTGGGGAGGGGCCTGGGGGAGGGGGAGGGCAAAGGAAAGGGAGGGGCTTGGGAGGGCACAGGTAGGGGAGGGGCCTGGTGAGGGGGAGGGGCTTTATAGGATGGGGAAGGGCTCAGGTGTGGGGAGGGCTGGGGGAGGGGCCTGGGAGGGGCCTGGGGGAGGGGAGGGGCATTCTGGGCCGGGGGAGGGGCACAGGTAGGGGAGGGGCCAGGAGAGGGCACAGGTAGGGGAGGGGCTTTATGGGAGGGGCTTTATAGGAGGGGCCTGGGAGAGGGGGAGGGGCAAAGATGAGGGGAGGAGCATGGAGAGGGGCCTTCTGGGCTGGGGGAGGGGCCCAGAAAAGGGGAGGGGCCTGGGGAGGGGTCTGGGGGAGAGGGAGGGGCTTTATGGGCTGGGGGAGGGGCTGGGGGAGGGGTAAGGGCTTTATGGGAGGGGAGGGGCCTGATGGGAGGGGAGGGATTTATGGGGAGGAGCTACATGGGAAGGAGGGGCCTGGGGAAGGGCCTGGGGGAGGGGCCAGGAGGAGGGGCTTTATAGGATGGGGAGGGGTAAAGGTCAGGAGGGGCCTGGGGAGGGGAGGGCTTTATGTGGGGATGGGGCCTGATGGGAGGGGGAGGGGCACAGATATGGGGAGGGGCTTTATGGGAGGGGAGAGGGCCCTCTGGACCAGGGGAGGGGCACAGGTAGGGGAGGGGCTTGTGGGGGAGGGGCTTTATGGGAGGGGGAGGGGTTCTGGTGAGGGTCCTGGGGAGGGGCATTCTGGGCTGGGGAGGGGCTCAGGTAGGGGAGGGGCCTGGGGAGGGGCCTGGAGGAGAGGAGGGGCACAGAAAATGGGGAGGGACCTAGGGGGAAGGGGCACAGAAAAGGGGAGGGGCCTGGGAGAGGGGCACAGGCAGGGGAGGGGCCTGGGGAAGGGGGACTAGCCTGGGGGAGGGGCCTGGGAGAGGGGAGGGGCTCATGTAGGGGAGGGGCCTGGGGTTTTATAGGATAGGAGAGGGGCAAAGGTAGGAGGAGGGGCCTGGGGAGGGTCCTGATGGGATGGGGAAAGGCTTTTGGGAGGGGGATGGGCACAGATATGGGGAGGGGCTTTATGGGATGGGAGGGGCTTTGTGGGTGGGGAGGGGCCCTCTGGGCTGGGGAGGGGCAAAGGTGACGGGGAGGGGCTTTATGTGGGGGAGGGGCACAGGTGATGGGGAGGGGTTTTGTGTGGGGAGGGGCCTGATGGGAGGGGGAGGAGCTTTATGGGAAGGGGAGGGGCAGAAGGGAGGGGGAGGGGCCCAGGTTTGGGGGCGTGGCCAACAGAGATTGACCCGAACCACCCGAGGGGGCGTGTCCAGCCCTGACCACGCCCCCTTTTCCCCCCTCAGCCCGGCGCAGGCCCCGCCCCCCGGAGCCGGACCCCGCCTACCAGGAGCTGCAGGGCGCGCGCGCCGACCTTTACAGCGAGCTCAAGCGCTGAGCCGCAACCTCCTCTCGATAAAATGCGATTTTGGGCTTTTTTCCCTCAATAAACGCAAAAAAACCCCCAAATTTCGTCCTTTTTTTGATTTTCGCGCCATTTTTGGGTCGCGCTCTGTCCGTGACGTCATCGCGGCGCGACCGGAAGTCCCCCTCAGGGCAGGACTGGCGGCCATGATGGCGGCGGCGCCTCCGACCGCGGCCTCTCCCGGCGGTCCCGGAGCCCCCCCGGGAGCCGCGCCCGGCCCGGTGGGACCCGCGGGGGCCGCAGGGGGGGCCGCGGGAGCAGCGGGAGGAGCAGCGGGAGGAGCGGGAGCGAAGAGCGGCGAGGAGAGGATGAAGGAGATGGAGGCCGAGATGGCGCTGTGAGGGCAATGGGGGGGGGATAAGGGAATGGGGGGGGAAAGGGTGGCCATGGCAACGGGGGCGGGGCTTGGGGTGGCCATGGCAACGGGGGCGGGGCTTGAGGGTGGCCATGGCAACGGGGGCGGGGCTTAGGGTGTGACCATGGCAATGGGGGCGGGGCTTGGGAGGGCCTGAGGGAGGGGAGGGTGGCCATGGCAACGGGGGTGGGGCTTGGGGTGGCCATGGCAATGGGGGCGGGGCTTGGGGTGGCCATGGCAACAGGGGCGGGGCTTGGGGTGGGGGCGGAGCTTGGGTGGCCATGGTGATGTGGTGGGGCTTGAGGGTGACCATGGCAACGGGGGCGGGGCTTGGGGTGGGGCAGGACTTAGGGTGGCCATGGCAACAGGGGCGGGGCTTGAGGGTGGCCATGGGAATGGGGGCGGGGCTTGGGGTGGGGGCGGGGCTTGGGGTGGCCATGGCGATGTGGGCGGGGCTTGGGGGTGGCCATGGGAATGGGGCGGGCTTGGGTGGGGCGGGGCTTGGGGTGGCCATGGTGATGTGGGCGGGGCTTGGGGGTGGCCATGGGAATGGGGCGGGGCTTGGGGTGGGGCGGGGCTTGGGGGTGACCATGGCAATGTGGGTGGCGCTTGAGGGTGGTGGGCGGAGCTTTGGGGTGTCCATGGCAATGGTGGGCGGGGCTTTGGGGTGTCCATGGCAACGGGGCGGGGCTTGGGGTAGCCATGGCAACGGGGCGGGGCTTGGGGTGACCATGGCAACGGGGGTGGGGCTTGTGAGGGCCTGAGGGGGTGGCCATGGCAACGGGGCGGGGCTTTTGGGGTGTCCATGGCAATGGGGGCGGAGCTTGGGGTGGCCATGGCAATGGGGGTGGGGCTCCGGGTGGTGGGCGGGCCTTGTGGGGGTGAGTGGTCATGGCAATGGGGCGGGGCTTGGGGTGGGGCGGGGCTTGGGGTGGCCATGGTGATGTGGGTGGGGCTTGAGGGTGTCCATGGCAATGGGGCGGGCTTGGGTGGCCATGGTGATGTGGGCAGGGCTTGGGGTGGGGGCGGGGCTTGGGGTGGCCATGGTGATGTGGGTGGGGCTTGAGGGTGTCCATGGCAATGGGGGCGGGGCTTTAGGGGTGACCATGGCAATGGGGGTGGGGCTTGTGGGTGGTGGGCGGGCTTGTGGGTGAGGGTGGCCATGGCAATGTGGGTGGGGCTTGAGGGTGGTGGGCGGAGCTTTGGGGGTGTCCATGGCAACAGGGGCGGGGCTTGGGGGTGGTGGGTGGGACCCTGATGGTGTCAATGGAAATGGGGGAGGGGCTTGGTGGTGGTGGGCGTGGCGTGTGGGTGGCCATGGCAATGGGAGCGGGGTTTGGGATGGTAATGATTGTGGGCGTGGCCTGGGAGGTTAATGGCAGTGGGCGTGGCTTAGGGGTTAATGAGGGTGGTGGGTGTGGCTTAGGGGGTTAATGAGGGTGGTGGGCGTGGCTTGCAGGTTAATGAGGGTGGTGGGTGTGGCCTGGTGGTTGTTAATGATTATGGGAGGGGCTTGGGGGTTAATGAGGGTGGTGGGTGTGGCCTGAGGTTGTTAATGATTGTGGGAGGGGCTTAGGGGTTAATGAGGGTGGTGGGTGTGGCCTGATGATTGTTAATGATTGTGGGAGGGGCTTAGGGGTTAATGAGGGTGGTGGGCGTGGCCTGGGCATTAATGAGGGTGGTGGGCGTGGCTTTGGGTTGTTAATGATTGTGGGAGGGGCTTAGCAGTTAATGAGGCTGAGGGGCGTGGCTTAGGGGTTAATGAGGGTGGTGGGTGTGGCTTTGGTGGTTAATGAGGGTGGTGGGCGTGTCCTGAGGTTGTTAATGAGTGGGGGCATGGTTTAGGGGTTAATGAGGGTGGTGGGCGTGGCTTAGGTGTTAATGAGAGTGGTGGGTGTGGTTTAGGGGTTAATGAGAGTGGTGGGTGTGGTTTAGGGGTTAATGAGGGTGGTGGGTGTAGCTTTGGATTGTTAATGATTGTGGGAGGGGCTTAGGGGTTAATGAGGGTGGTGGGCGTGGCTTAGGGGGTTAATGAGGGTGGTGGGTGTGGCTTTGGTGGTTAATGAGGGTGGTGGGTGTGGCCTGGGGGGTTAATGAGGGTGGTGGGTGTGGCCTGGTGGTTGTTAATGATTGTGGGAGGGGCTTAGGGGTTAATGAGGGTGGTGGGCGTGGCCTGGGGGGTTAATGAGGGTGGTGGGCGTGGCTTTAGTTTGTTAATGATTGTGGGAGGGGCTTAGGGGTTAATGAGGGTGGTGGGTGTGGCTTAGGGGTTAATGAGGCTGATGGCCGTGGCTTTGGGATGTTAATGATTGTGGGAGGGGCTTAGGGGTTAATGAGGGTGGTGGGTGTGGCTTTGGGTTGTTAATGATTGTGGGAGGGGCTTAGGGGTTAATGAGGGTGGTGGGTGTGGCTTAGGGGTTAATGAGGGTGGTGGGCATGGCTTTGGGTTGTTAATGATTGTGGGAGGGGCTTAGGGGTTAATGAGGGTGGTGGGCGTGGCTTTGAGGTTAATGAGGGTGGTGGGCGTGGGTTTGGGTTGTTAATGAATGTGGGAGGGGCTTAGGGGTTAATGAGGGTGGTGGGCGTGGCTTAGGGGTTAATGAGGGTGGTGGGCGTGGCTTAGGGGTTAATGAGGGTGGTGGGCGTGGCTTGGGGTTGTTAATGATTGTGGGAGGGGCTTAGGGGTTAATGAGGGTGGTGGGTGTGGCTTAGGTGTTAATGAGGGTGGTGGGTGTGGCTTGGGGGTTAATGAGGGTGGTGGGCATGGCTTAGGGGGTTAATGAGGGTGGTGGGTGTGGCTTATGAGGTTAATGAGGGTGGTGGGTGTGGCTTAGGGGTTAATGAGGGTGGTGGGTGGGGCTTGGGGTTAATGAGGGTGGTGGGCATGGCCTGATGGTTGTTAATGAATGTGGGAGGGGCTTAGGGGTTAATGAGGGTGGTGGGCGTGGCTTGGGGGTTAATGAGGGTGGTGGGCGTGGCCTGATGGTTGTTAATGAATGTGGGAGGGGCTTAGGGGTTAATGAGGGTGGTGGGCGTGGCTTTGGGTTGTTAATGATTGTGGGGGTGGCTTAGGGGTTAATGAGGGTGGTGGGCGTGGCTTAGGAGTTAATGAGGGTGGTGGGTGGGGCTTAGGGGTTAATGAGGGTGGTGGGCGTGGCTTAGGGGTTAATGAGGGTGGTGGGCGTGGCTTAGGGGTTAATGAGGGTGGTGGGTGTGGCTTTGGTGGTTAATGAGGGTGGTGGGCATGGCCTGAGGTTGTTAATGATTGTGGGAGGGGCTTGGGGTTAATGAGGGTGGTGGGCGTGGCTTAGGGGGTTAATGAGAGTGGTGGGCGTGGCCTGGTGGCTGTTAATTATTGTGGGCGTGGCTTTGGGGTTAATGAGGGTGGTGGGCGTGGCTTAGGTGTTAATGAGGGTGGTGGGCGTGGCCTGGGGTCGTTAACGATGCCCCTCCATCCAATCAGGTTCGAGCAGGAGGTTTTGGGGGCTCCAGGCCCCGCCCCCGGGGACCCCCTGGCCCCGCCCCCCGTGCTGCGGCCAATCATCGCCACCAACACCTACCAGCAGGTGACCTTTGACCCCCACACTGTCCCCAAATGTCACCAAAGTGTCCCCAATTCCCCCAAAGTGTCCCCAAATGTCACTAAAATGTCCCCAAACCGTCCCCAAATTGTGTGTAATTCCTTTAAATGTCCCCAAAGTGTCCCCAAATGTCCCTAAAATGTCCCCAAATGTTCTCCAAATGTCCCCAAATGTCCCCAAAGTGTCCCCAAATGTCCCTAAAATGTCCCCAAACTGTTCCCAAACTGTGTCCAGTCCCCTTGAATGTCCCCAAAGTGTCCCTTAATGTCCCCAAACTGTTCCTAATCCCTCCCAAATGTCCCCAAACTGTCCTCAAACTGTCCTTAATCCCTCTCAAATGTCCCCAAAGTGTCCCCAAATGTCTTTAAAGTGTCCCCAAATTGTGTCCCATCCCCTTAAATGTCCCCAAATGTCCCCAAAGTGTCCCCAAATGTCTCTAAAGTGTCCCCAAATTGTGTCCAGTCCCCTTAAATGTCCCCAAAGTGTCCCCAAATGTCCCTAAAATGTCCCCAAACCGTCCCCAAATTATGTCCAATCCCCTTAAATGTCCCCAAACCATCCCCAAATGTCCCTAAAATGTCCCCAAAATGTCCCCAAACCGTCCCCAAATTGTGCCCAATCTCCTTAAATGTCCCCAAAGTGTCCCCCAATGTCCCCAAACTGTCTCTAATCCTTTCTAAATGACCCCAAACTGTCCCCAAAGTGTCCCCAAAGTGTCCCCAAAGTGTCCCCAAATCCCCCAAAGTGTCCCCAAATCCCCCAAAGTGTCCCCAATGACCCCAAAGTGTCCCCAAATGGCCCCAAACTGTCCCAAATTGTCCCCAAATGTCCCCAAACTGTCTCTAATCCCTCTCCAATGTCCCCAAACTGTTTCTAAAATGTCCTCAAATGTCCCCCAATCCCTCCCAACGTCCCCCAATGTGTCCCCCAATGTCCCCAAATGTCCTCAAATGTCCCCAAATGCCTCTAAACTGTCCCCAAGCTGTCCTTAAATGTCCCCAAAGTGTCCCTAAATGTCCCCAAAACGTCCCCAAATCCCCCCAAACTGTCCCCAATCCCCCCCAAATGTCCCCAAATCCCTCCCAATGTCCCCAAAGTGTCCCCAAATCCCCCCCCAATGTCCCCAAGGTGCCTCTAAATTGTCCCCAATGTCCCCAAAGTGTCCCCAAATTGCATCCAATCCCCTTAAGTGTCCCCGAAATGTCCCCAAACTGTCCTCACACTGTCCCCAAATTGTCCCCAAATCCTTTTGGTGTCCCCAGAGTGTCCCCAAAGTGCCCCCAATTCCCCCAAAAGTGTCCCCAAATGTCCCCAAACTGTCCCCAAACTGTCCCAAAATGTCCCCAGAGTGCCACAAAATGTCCCCAAACTGCCCCCAATCCCCCCCAAACTGTCCCCAAATGTCCCCAAATCCCTCCCAATGTCCCCAGAGTGTCCCCAAGTGTCCCCCAATTCCCCCAAAAGTGTCCCCAAGTGTCCCCAAATGTGTCCCACAATCCCCCCAATGTCCCCAAAGTGTCCCCAATGTTCTCCCAATCCCTCCAATGTCCCCAGAGTGTCCCCAACTGTCCCCAAACTGTCCCCAAACTGTCCCCCAATCCCTCCCAGTGTCCCCAAAAGTGTCCCCCAAAGTCTCCCCCACATGTCTCCAAACTGTCCCCAAATCCCTCCCAATGTCCCCAAATGTCCCTAAAATGTTTCCAAATGTTCCTCACTGTCCCCAAAGTGTCCCCCAATGTCCCCCAATGTCCCCAAATGTCCCCAAACTGTCCCCAGAGTGTCCCCAAGCTGTCCCCAAATCCCTCCCAATGTCCCCAAAGTGTCCCCAAGCTGTCCCCAAACCCTCTTGGTGTCCCCAGGGTGTCCCCAGAGTGTCCCCAAATGTCCCCCCCAATGTCCCCCAATGTCCCAGAGCTGTCCCCAAACTGTTCCTGATGTCTCTTCAATGTCCCCCCATCCCTCCAATGTCCCCAAGCTGTCCCCAACCCCTCTTGGTGTCCCCAAGGTGTCCCCAAACTTCCCCCAAATGTCCCCCAATGTCCCCAAATGTCCCCAATCCCTCCCAAATGTGTCCAAACTGTCCCCAAATGTGTCCAAAGTATCCCAAAACTGTCCCCAAATGTCCCCAAGCTGTTACCAAACCTCTTGATGTCTCCAAAGTGTCCCCAAATGTCCCCAAACTGTCCCCAAAGTGTCCCCAAACTCTCTTGGTGTCCCCAATGTCCCCAAACTGTCCCCAAATTGCATCCAATCCCTTTAAGTGTCCCCCAAATGTCCCCAAACTGTCCCCAATCCCTCCCAAATGTCCCCAAACTGTCCCCAAATGTCCCCAGATGTGTCCAAAGTGTCCCCAAATGTGTGTCCAAAGTGTCCCCAAATCCCCCCAAACTGTCCCCAGTTCCCCCCAAAGTGTCCCCAAATCCCTCCCAATGTCCCAGAGTGTCCTCAAAGTCTCCCCCAGATGTCCCCAAACTGTCCCCAACACCTCTTGGTGTCCCCAGGGTGTCCCCAAACTGTCCCCAATGTCCCCAAACTGTCCCCAAATGTGTCCCCAAGTGTCCCTAGACCCTCTTGGTGTCCCCAAGGTGTCCCCAAACGTCCCTCAAATGTCCCCCAATGTCCCCAAACTGTCCCCAATTGTGTCCCCAAATCCCTCCCAATATCCCAAAGTGTCCCCAAAGTCTCCCCCAGATGTCCCCAAACTGTTCCTAATCCCTTCCAAATGTCCCCAAATGTGTCCCCAAGCTGTCCCCAAACCCTCTTGGTGTCCCCAAATGTCCTCAGGGTGTCCCCAGACCCTCTTAATGTCCTCAAAGTGTCCCCAATGTCACCAAAGTGTCCCCCAATGTCCCCAAGCTGTCCCCAGAGTGTCCTCAGACTGTCCCCAAACCCTCTTGGTGTCCCCAGGGTGTCCCCAAACTGTCCCCAATGTCCCTACACTGTCCCCAAACTGTCCCCAAACTGTCCCCAAATGTGTCCCCAAGTGTCCCCAAACTGTCCCCAAACCCTCTTGATGTCCCCAAAGTGTCCCTAAATGTTCCCCAATGTCCCCAAAGTGTCCCCAAATCCCCCCAAACTGTCCCCAATTCCCCCCAAAGTGTCCCTGAATCCCTCCCAATGTCCCAAAGTGTCCCCAAAGTCTCCCCCAGATGTCCCCAAACTGTCCCTAATCCCTCCCAAATGTCCCTAGACTGTCCCCGAAAGTGTCCCCAAACCCTCTTGGTGTCCCCAGAGTGTCCCCAACTGTCCCCAAACCCTCTTAATGTCCTCAAAGTGTCCCCAACTGTCCCCAAAGTGTCCCCCAATGTCCCCAAGCTGTCCCCAGAGTGTCCCCAAGCTGTCCCCAAACCCTTTTGGTGTCCCCAAAGTGTCCCCAATGTCCCCAAGCTGTCCCCAAACCCTCTTGGTGTCCTCAGGGTGTCCCCAAATGTTCCCAAAGTGTCCCCAATGTCCCCAAGCTGTCCCCAAACCCTCTTGGTGTCCCCAGAGTGTCCCCAAATGTCCCCAAACTGTCCCCAAACTGTTCCTGATGTCCCCCCCATGTCCCCCCATCCCTCCAATGTCCCCAAAGTGTCCCCAAACTGTCCCCAAGCTGTCCCCAGACCCTGTTGGTGTCCCCAGGGTGTCCCCAAAGTGTCCCCAAATTGCATCCAATCCCCTTAAGTGTCCCCCAAATGTCCCCAAACTGTCCCCAATTTCTCCCAAATGTCCCCAAATGTGTCCCCAAAGTGTCCAAACTGTCCCCAAATGTGTCCCCAAAGTGTCCCCAAATGTCCCCAAAGTGTCCCCAAACTGTCCCCAATTTCTCCCAAATGTCCCCAAACTGTCCTCAAATGTGTCCAAACTGTCCCCAAATGTGTCCCCAAAGTGTCCCCAAATGTCCCCAAAGTGTCCCCAAACTGTCCGCAATCCCCCCCAAAGTGTCCCCAAATGTCCCCGAATCCCTCCCAATGTCCCCAAGTGTCCCCAGAGTGTCCCCAGACTGTCCCCAAGCTGTCCCCAAACCCTCTTGGTGTCCCCAGACTGTCCCCAACTGTCCCCAAACCCTCCCAAATGTCCCCAAACTGTCCCCAAATGTCCCCAAACCCTCTTGATGTCCCCAAACTGTCCCTAAACTTCCCCCAATGTCCCCAAACTGTCCCCAATCCCCCCCCAAGTGTCCCCAAATCCCTCCCAATGTCCCAAAGTGTCCCCAAAGTCTCCCCCAGATGTCCCCAAACTGTCCCCTATCCCTCCCAAATGTCCCCAAACTGTCCCCAAATGTGTCCCCAACCCCTCTTGGTGTCCCCAAATGTCCCCAACTGTCCCCAAACCCTCTTAATGTCCTCAAAGTGTCCCCAACTGTCCCCAAAGTGTCCCCCAATGTCCCCAAAGTGTCCCCAGAGTGTCCCCAAGCTGTCCCCAACCCCTCTTGATGTCCCCAGGGTGTCCCCAACCCCTCTTGGTGTCCCCAAAGTGTCCTCAGCTGTCTCCAAATGTCCCTCAATGTCCCCAAAGTGTCCCCAAGTCCTCTTTACATCCCCAAACTGTCCCCAAACTTCCCCCAACTGTCCCCAAAGTGTCCCCAAACTGTCCCCAGAGTGTCCCCAAGTTGTCCCCAAACCCTCTTGGTTTCATGGTGTCCCCAGGGTGTCCCCAGCCCCTCTTGGTGTCCCCAAAGTGTCCCCAGACTGTCCCCAGCTGTCCCCAACCCCTCTTGGTGTCCCCAAAGTGTTCCCAAAGTGTCCCCCAACTGTCCCCAAACCCTTTTGGTGTCCTCAAAGTGTCCCCAAATGTCCCCAAATGTCCCCAAATGTCCCCTCAGGTCCAGCAGTCCCTCGAGGCTCGCGCGGCCGCCGCCGCCACCGGCACCGTCCCCACCCTGGGGACCCCCCCGGGACCTTTTGTGGGGCCAGGTCAGTGTCACAAAACTGTCCCCAAAGTGTCCCCAAAGTGTCCCCAACCCCACCTGGGGACCCCCCCGGGACCCTTCGTGGGGCCAGGTCAGTGTCACAAAACTGTCACCAAAGTGTCCCCAAAGTGTCCCCAAAGTGTCCCCAATGTCCCCAAAGTGTCCCCAATGACCCCCCCGGGGCCAGGTCAGTGACCCCAATGTCACCAAAGTGTCCCCAATGTCACCAAAGTGTCCCCAATGTCCCCAAAGACCCCCCCAGGGCCAGGTCAGTGTCACCAATGTCACCAAAGTGTCCCCAAAGTGTCCCCAAAGACCCCCCCAGGGCCAGGTCAGTGTCACCAATGTCACCAAAGTGTCCCCAAAGTGTCCCCAAAGACCCCCCCAGGGCCAGGTCAGTGTCCCCAATGTCACCAAAGTGTCCCCAATGACCCCCCCAGGGCCAGGTCAGTGTCCCCAATGTCACCAAAGTGTCCCCAATGACCCCCCCAGGGCCAGGTCAGTGTCCCCAATGTCCCCAAAGTGTCCCCAATGTCACCAAAGTGTCCCCAACCCCCCCTGGGGACCCCCCCGGGACTCTTCGTGGGGCCAGGTCAGTGTCACAAAACTGTCCCCAGTGTCACCAAAGTGTCCCCAATGTCCCCAAAGTGTCCCCAATGTCACCAATCCCCACCCTGGGGACCCCCCCGGGGCCCTTCGTGGGGCCAGGTCAGTGTCACAAAACTGTCCTCAGTGTCCCCAAAGTGTCCCCAATGTCACCAAAGTGTCCCCAAAGTGTCCCCAACGACCCCCCCAGGGCCAGGTCAGTGTCACCAATGTCATCAAAGTGTCAGCAAAGTGTCCCCAAAGTGTCCCCAATGACCCCCCCAGGGCCAGGGCAGTGTCACCAAAGTGTCCCCAAAGTGTCCCCAGTGTCCCCAATGTCCCCAAAGTGTCCCCAAAGTGTCCCCAACGACCCCCCCAGGACCAGGTCAGTGTCACCAGTGTCCCCAATGTCACCAAAGTGTCCCCAATGACCCCCCCAGGGCCAGGTCAGTGTCCCCAATGTCACCAAAGTGTCCCCAAAGTGTCCCCAATGACCCCCCCAGGGCCAGGGCAGTGTCCCCAATGTCCCCAAAGTGTCCCCAATGTCCCCAAAGTGTCCCCAATGTCACCAAAGTGTCCCCAATGACCCCCCCAGGGCCAGGTCAGTGTCCCCAATGTCACCAAAGTGTCCCCAATGACCCCCCCAGGGCCAGGTCAGTGTCCCCAATGTCACCAAAGTGTCCCCAATGTCACCAAAGTGTCCCCAATGACCCCCCCAGGGCCAGGTCAGTGTCCCCAATGTCACCAAAGTGTCCCCAATGACCCCCCCAGGGCCAGGTCAGTGTCCCCAATGTCACCAAAGTGTCCCCAAAGTGTCCCCAATGACCCCCTCAGGGCCAGCTCAGTGTCCCCAATGTCACCAAAGTGTCCCCAATGACCCCCCCAGGGCCAGGGCAGTGTCCCCAAAGTGTCCCCAATGACCCCCCCAGGGCCAGGTCAGTGTCCCCAATGTCCCCAAAGTGTCCCCAATGACCCCCCAGGGCCAGGTCAGTGTCCCCAATGTCCCCAAAGTGTCCCCAATGTCCCCAAAGTGTCCCCAAAGTGTCCCCAATGACCCCCCCAGGGCCAGGTCAGTGTCCCCAATGTCCCCAAAGTGTCCCCAATGTCCCCAAAGTGTCCCTAAAGTGTCCCCAATGACCCCCAGGGCCAGGTCAGTGTCCCCAATGTCCCCAAAGTGTCCCCTAATGTCCCCAAAGTGTCCCCAAAGTGTCCCTAATGACCCCTAGGGCCAGGTCAGTGTCCCCAATGTCACCAATGTCCCCAAAGTGTCCCCAAAGTGTCCCCAATGTCACCAAATTGTCCCCAAAATGTCCCCCCCAGGGCCAGGTCAGTGTCCCCAATGTCCCCAAAGTGTCCCCAAAGTGTCCCCAATGACCCCCCCAGGGCCAGGTCAGTGTCCCCAATGTCCCCAAAGTGTCCCCAATGACCCCCCAGGGCCAGGTCAGTGTCCCCAATGTCCCCAAAGTGTCCCCAATGTCCCCAAAGTGTCCCCAAAGTGTCCCCAATGTCCCCAGGGCCAGGTCAGTGTCCCCAATGTCCCCAAAGTGTCCCCAATGTCCCCAAAGTGTCCCCAAAGTGTCCCCAATGATCCCCAGGGCCAGGTCAGTGTCCCCAATGTCCCCAAAGTGTCCCCAATGTCCCCAAAGTGTCCCCAAAGTGTCCCCAATGACCCCCCCAGGGCCAGGTCAGTGTCCCCAATGTCACCAATGTCCCCAAAGTGTCCCCAAAGTGTCCCCAATGTCACCAAATTGTCCCCAAAATGTCCCCCCCAGGGCCAGGTCAGTGTCCCCAAAGTGTCCCCAAAGTGTCCCCAAAGTGTCCCCAATGACCCCCCCAGGGCCAGGTCAGTGTCCCCAATGTCACCAAAGTGTCACCAAAGTGTCCCCAATGACCCCCCCAGGGCCAGGTCAGTGTCCCCAATGTCCCCAAAGTGTCCCCAATGACCCCCCCAGGGCCAGGTCAGTGTCCCCAAAGTGTCCCCAAAGTGTCCCCAATGACCCCCCAGGGCCAGGTCAGTGTCCCCAATGTCCCCAAAGTGTCACCAAAGTGTCCCCAGTGTCACCAAAGTGTCCCCAATGACCCCCCCAGGGCCAGGTCAGTGTCCCCAATGTCCCCAATGTCACCAAAGTGTCCCCAAAGTGTCCCCAATGACCCCCCCAGGGCCAGGTCAGTGTCCCCAATGTCACCAAAGTGTCCCCAAAGTGTCCCCAATGACCCCCCCAGGGCCAGGTCAGTGTCCCCAATGTCCCCAAAGTGTCCCCAATGTCACCAAAGTGTCCCCAAAGTGTCCCCAATGACCCCCCCAGGGCCAGGTCAGTGTCCCCAATGTCCCCAAAGTGTCACCAATGACCCCCCCAGGGCCAGGTCAGTGTCCCCAATGTCACCAAAGTGTCACCAAAGTGTCCCCAATGACCCCCCCAGGGCCAGGTCAGTGTCCCCAATGTCACCAAAGTGTCCCCAAAGTGTCCCCAATGACCCCCCCAGGGCCAGGTCAGTGTCCCCAATGTCACCAAAGTGTCCCCAAAGTGTCCCCAATGACCCCCCCAGGGCCAGGTCAGTGTCCCCAATGTCACCAAAGTGTCCCCAAAGTGTCCCCAATGACCCCCCCAGGGCCAGGTCAGTGTCCCCAATGTCACCAAAGTGTCACCAAAGTGTCCCCAATGACCCCCCCAGGGCCAGGTCAGTGTCCCCAATGTCCCCAAAGTGTCCCCAATGACCCCCCCAGGGCCAGGTCAGTGTCCCCAATGTCACCAAAGTGTCCCCAAAGTGTCCCCAATGACCCCCCCAGGGCCAGGTCAGTGTCACCAATGTCACCAAAGTGTCCCCAATGTCCCCAATGTCCCCACATGTGGTGTCCCCGCAGTGTCCCCAAATGTCCCCAAATGTCCCCTGGGTGTCCCCAACTGTCCCTGGGTGTCCCCTCAGCGTCCCCTGGATGTCCCCAAATGTCCCCTGGATGTCCCCAAATGTCCCCTGGGTGTCCCCAACTGTCCCTGGGTGTCCCCTCAGCGTCCCCTGGATGTCCCCAAATGTCCCCTGGATGTCCCCAAATGTCCCCTGGGTGTCCCAAGATGTCCCCAAATATCCCCTGGGTGTCCCTGGATGTCCCTGGGTGTCCCTGGGTGTCCCCAAGTGTCCCCTGGGTGTCCCCAAATGTCCTTGGGTGTTCCTAGGGTGTCCCCAAGGGTCCTTTGGGTGTCATCACTGTCCCCAAGAGTCCCCAAGTGTCCCCTGGGTGTCCCCAGGTGTCTCCAGGGTGTCTCCCTGTCCCCTGGGTGTCCCCAGGGTGTCCCCTGGGTGTCCCCAAATGCCCCCTGGGTGCTCCCAAGTGTCCCCAAATGTCCCCAGGGTGTCCCTTGGGTGTCCCCAAGTGTCCCCAAATGTCCCCAAACATCCCCAGGGTGTCCCCAAATGTCCCCAAACATCCCCTGGGTGTCCCAGGGTGTCCCCTGGATGTCTCTAAATGTCCCCAAGTGTCCCCAAATGTCCCCAAACATCCCTAGGGTGTCCCCAAATGTCCCCTGGGTGTCCCCTGGGTGTCCCCAAATGTCCCCTGGGTGTCCCCAAATGTCCCCTGGGTGTCCCTGGGTGTCCCCAAGGGTCTCTTGGGTGTCATCACTGTCCCCAAGTGTCCCCTGGGTGTCCCCGAATGTCCTCTGGCTGTTCCTGGGGTGTCCCCTGGGTGTCCCCAGGGTGTCTCCCTGTCCCCTGGGTGTCCCCAAATGTCCCCAGGTGTCCCTGGGTGTCCCCAAATATCCCCAGGGTGTCCCCTGGGTGTCCCCAAATGTCCCCAAATGTGCTCTGGGTGTCCCTGGGTGTCCCTGGGTGTCCCCACGTGTGGTGTCCCCTGGGTGTCTCCCTGTCCCCAGGGTGTCCCCAGATGTTGGGGATCATCTGGGGGCCTGATTTGGGGACTATTTAGAGACCGGGGACATCTGGAAGGACATTTGGGGGAGTTTGGGGACATTTGGGGGAGTTGGGGACACCTGGGGGCGTTGGGGACATCTGGGAGGTTGGGGACACAGGGGAGGAATTGGGGACACTGGGGGGGAGTTTGGGATGTTGGGGACATTTTTGGGACATTGGAGGGGATTTGGGGACAGTTTTGGGGACACTGGGGGATTGGGGGACGCTGGGAGGATTAGGAACACTTTGGGGACACTTTGGGGGTGTTCGGGGGGACATTGGGGACACTGGGGACAATTTTGGGGGTGTTGGGGACATTTGGGATAGTTTGGGGACAATTTTGAGAACACTTTGGGGACATCTAGGGTGGATTGGGGACACTTTGGGGATTTGGGGACACTTTGGGGGCAATTTGGGGGTGTTGGGGATTGAGGACATTTTGGGGAGTTTGGGGACATTTGGGGATTGGGACATTTTGAGGAGTTTGGGGACATTTGGGGGTTGGGACATTTTGGGGAGTTGGGAATATTTGGGGATCTTTCAGGTGATTGGGGGTGTGGGACACTTTCGGGTGTTGGGGGACGATTGAGGACATTTGGGGGAGTTTGGGGACATTTGGGGAAGTTTGGGGACATTTGGGGACATTTGGGAGATTGGGGAGTTTGGGGGATTGGGGAGATTGGGGACACTTTGGGGGACATTGGGGGCACTTTGGGGACATTGGGGGTTTGGGGACACTTTGGGGACATTGGGGGCATTGGGGGACATAGGGGATTTGGGGACACTTTGGGATGACTGGAGGGGTTGGGGACACTTTGGGGACATCTGGGGAGTTTGGGACATTGGGGACAGTTTGAGGGACATTTGGGGGCATTGGGGGACATTTGGGGGGAGTTTGGGGTGATTGGGGGACATTGGGGACACTTTGGGGATATTTGGGGGAGTTTGGGGACACTGGGGGGATTGGGGACATTTGGGGACACTTTGGGGCTGTTGGGAGATTGGGGGACATTTGGGGGAGTTTTGGGGACATTTGGGGCAGTTGGGGACATTTGGGGGCGTTGGGGACACTTTGGGGGCACTTTGGGGGCGTTGGGATGGGATTTGGGGACACTTTGGGGACATTGGGGGGACACTGGGAGACATTTGGGGACATTGGGGGATTTGGGGACATTTGGGAGGCGTTGGGACATCTTTGGGGGAGTTTGGGGACATTTAGGGACATTTGGGGGACATTTAGGGGATTGGGGACATTGGGGGATTTGGGGACATTTTGGGGGGTTGGGGACATTTGGGGGATTTGGGGACATCTGAGGGAGATTTGGGGACGGTTGGGGACACTTGGGGACATTTGGGGATGTTTGGGGACATTTGGGGGATTGGGGGACACTTTGGGGACATTGGGGAGATTGGGGACATTTGGGAGGATTTGGGGACATTTGGGGGTTAGGGAATATTTGGGGGAGTTTGGGGACATTGGGGAGTTTGGGGACACCTGGGGATTAGGGGACACTTTGGGGGACTTTGGGGGATTTGGGGACACTTTGAGGGGCATTTGGGGACATTTAGAGGGGAGTTTGGGGACATTGGGGGATTTGGGGACATTGGGGGGATTTGGGGACAATTTGGGGACATTTTGGGGAGTTTGGGATGTTGGGGACACTTTGGGGACACTGGGGGGACATTGGGGGGCTTTGGGGACATTTGGGGACACTTTGGGGACATCTTTGGGGGATTGGGAGCCATTTTGGGGGTCCCAGTTGACACTGGGGGGTCCCAGGTAACATTTAAGGGTTGTTGGGGGGGTCCCAGGTGACCCTGGGTGTCCCCAATGTCCCTGGGTGTCCCCTGGGTGTCCCTGTAAGTGTCTCTGGGTGTCCCCTGGGTGTCCCTAAGTGTCCCCCCTGTGTCCCCAATGTCCCCTGGGTGTCCCCTGGGTGTCCCCAATGTCCCCTGGGTGTCCCCAAGTGTCCCTGTCCTGGGTGTCCTAGTCCCCCTGGGTGTCCCCTGGGTGTCCTGGGTGTCCCCTGGGTGTCCCCAATGTCCCCTGGGTGTCCCCGAATGTCCCTGGAGTGTCCCCTGGGTGTCCCCAAGTGTCCCCTGGTGTCCCTGGGTGTCCCCTGGATGTCCCTGGGTGTCCCCTGGGTGTCCCCAATGTCCCCTGGGTGTCCCCAGATGTCCCCTGGGTGTCCTGGATGTCCCCGGGTGTCCCCTGGGTGTCCCTGGATGTCCCCTGGGTGTCCCTAGATGTCCCTGGGTGTCCCTGGGTGTCCCCTGGGTGTCCCCTGGGTGTCCCCTAGGTGTCCCAAATGTCCCCTGGGTGTCCCCTGGGTGTCCCCTGGGTGTCCCTGGGTGTCCCCAATGTCCCCTGGGTGTCCCCAATGTCCCCTGGGTGTCCCTGGGTGTCCCCAGGTGTCCCCTGAGTGTCCCTGGGTGTCCCGCAGTGTCCCCAGGTGTCCCTTGGGTGTCCCCTGGGTGTCCCCTGGGTGTCCCCATGAGGTGTCCCCGAGTGTCCCCTGGGTGTCCCCAAGTGTCCCTAGGGTGTCCCCTGGGTGTCCCCTGGGTGTCCCCAAGGTGTCCCCAATGTCCCCTGGGTGTCCCCTGGGTGTCCCCTGAGTGTCCCCAGATGTCCCCTGGGTGTCCCCAATGTCCCCTGGGTGTCCCTAGGTGTCCCCAGTGTCCCCTGGGTGTCCCCTGGGTGTCCCCTGGGTGTCCCTGGGTGTCCCCAAGGTGTCCCCGAGTGTCCCCTGAGTGTTCCCTGGGTGTCCCCAAATGTCCCCTGGGTGTCCCTGGGGTGTCCCCAAGTGTCCCTGGGTGTCCCCTGGGTGTCCCTGGGTGTCCCCTGGGTGTCCCCTGGGTGTCCCCAATGTCCCCTGGGTGTCCCCTGGGTGTCCCCTGGGTGTCCCCTGGGTGTCCCCAATGTCCCCTGGGTGTCCCCAAATGTCCCCTGGGTGTCCCCTGGGTGTCCCCAATGACCCCAATGTCCCCTGGGTGTCCCCTGGGTGTCCCTGGGTGTCCCCAATGTCCCCAGGTGTCCCCTGGGTGTCCCCAGTGTCCCCTGGGTGTCCCCTGGGTGTCCCCTGGGTGTCCCCAATGTCCCCAGGGTGTCCCCTGGGTGTCCCCAATGTCCCCTGGGTGTCCCCTGGGTGTCCCCTGGGTGTCCCCTGGGTGTCCCTAGTGTCCCCTGGGTGTCCCCTGGGTGTCCCCTGGGTGTCCCCTGGGTGTCCCCTGGGTGTCCCCAATGTCCCCTGGGTGTCCCCTGGGTGTCCCCTGGGTGTCCCCTGGGTGTCCCCAATGTCCCCTGGGTGTCCCCTGGGTGTCCCTGGGTGTCCCCAATGTCCCCTGGGTGTCCCCTGGGTGTCCCTGGGTGTCCCCTGGGTGTCCCTGGGTGTCCCCAATGTCCCTTGGGTGTCCCTGGGTGTCCCTGGATGTCCCCTGGGTGTCCCTAATGTCCCTGGGTGTCCCTGGGTGTCCCTGGATGTCCCCTGGGTGTCCCTGGGTGTCCCCAATGTCCCCTGGATGTCCTCTGGGTGTCCCCTGGGTGTCCCCTGAGTCTCCCTGGGTGTCCCCTGGGTGTCCCCTAATGTCCCCTGGGTGTCCCCTGGGTGTCCCCAAATGTCCCTGGGTGTCCCCTGGGTGTCCCTGGGTGTCCCTAATGTCCCTTGGGTGTCCCCTGGGTGTCCCCAATGTCCCCTGGGTGTCCCTAATGTCCCCAGGTGTCCCCTGGGTGTCCCTGGGTGTCCCCTGGGTGTCCCCAATGTCCCCTGGGTGTCCCCTGGGTGTCCCTGGGTGTCCCTGGGTGTCCCCAATGTCCCCTGGGTGTCCCCTGGGTGTCCCCAATGTCCCATGGGTGTCCCCTGGGTGTCCCTGGGTGTCTCCTGGGTGTCCCCAATGTCCCCTGGGTGTCCCTGGGTGTCCCCAATGTCCCCTGGGTGTCCCCTGGGTGTCCCCTGGGTGTCCCCAATGTCCCCTGGGTGTCCCCTGGGTGTCCCTGGGTGTCCCCTGGGTGTCCCCTGGGTGTCCCCTGGGTGTCCCCTGCGTGTCCCCAATGTCCCCTGGGTGTCCCTGGGTGTCCCTGGGTGTCCCCAATGTCCCCAATGTCCCCTGGGTGTCCCCTGGGTGTCCCTGGGTGTCCCCAATGTCCCCTGGGTGTCCCCTGGGTGTCCCTGGGTGTCCCCTGGGTGTCCCCAATGTCCCCTGGGTGTCCCCTGGGTGTCCCTGGGTGTCCCCTGGGTGTCCCCTGACTCCCCTGTCCCCCCTGACCCTGACCCCTCAGATGTCCCCAATGTCCCCCCGTGTCCCCCCTGTCCTCCCCCAATGTCCCCTTGGGTGTCCCCTGACCTCCCTGACCCCCCTGTCCTCAATGTCTCCTGATCCCCCTGAACCCCCATGGTGTCCCCCGATGTCCCTGGGTGTCCTGTGCAATGACTCCCTGACCCCTGTCCTCCAATGTCCTCCTGACCCCTGACTTCTGACTCCCCTGACCCCTGACCTCCTTTCTGGTCCCCCAATGTCCCCTGGGTGTCCCCTCTGTCTCCCTGCCCCCCTCTAACGTCCCTGACTCCGCCCCAATGTCCTCCCTGATTCCCCCTAATGTCCCCTCTTTCCCCTACTGTCCTCCCAATGTCTCCCCAATGTCCCCCTGACCTCCTGACTCCCCTCAATGTCCCGCCTGCAATGTCCCCTCTGCCCCTCTCCCTGTCCCCATCCCCAATGTGCCTCCTCTGACTCCCCAATGTCCCCCATGACCTCCCTGTCTCCCCAATGTCCCCCCAATGTCCACCCTGTCCCCCTGACCTCTCTGTCCTCTCTGTCCCCTCTATCACTGTCCCCTGACCCCACCAAATGTCCCCCTGACCCTACTGTCCCTCTACACGTCCCCTCTCTGACCTCTCTGACTGTCCCCTGACCTCTCGACTCCTCTGGCCCCCTCAATGTCCCCTGACCCCTCCTCAATGTCCCCTGACCCCCAATTCTGACCCCCCTGACCCCTACCCTCAATGTCCTCCTGACCCCCTGGGTGTCCCCTGACCCCCTGACCCCTCTCTGTCCTCTAATGTCCTCTCTGACCCCCCAATGTCCCTCCCTGACCTCCTGACCCCCTGTCCCCCCCAATGTCCCTGGGTGTCCCCTGACCCCCTGGGTGTCCCCCTGACCCCTGACCCCCCTGTCCCCCACTGTCCCCCCCAGGTGGGGGCGTCTCTCTTCGCCAGTAACATCGGCTCGGGTCACTTCGTGGGGCTGGCGGGGACCGGGGCGGCCTCGGGGATCGCCGTGGGGGGCTTCGAGTGGAGCGTGAGCGCCCCCTGCTGCTTATATCGCGATATGACACCCACCTGATCAATCCCTGGGGGGTGGGAGCCATTACTGGGAGCACTGGGAGCACTGCGAGGGGACCGGGGCGGCCTCGGGGATCGCCGTGGGGGGCTTCGAGTGGAGCGTGAGCGCCCCCCTGTGGTCATATCGCGATATGACACCCCCTCATTGAGCCCCGGGGACACTGGGAGCACTGGGAGCACTGGGAGGGGGCAGGGGCGGCCTCGGGGATCGCCGTGGGGGGCTTCGAGTGGAGCGTGAGCGCCCCCTGCTGGGCATATCGCGATATGACACCCACCTAAACCTCTCCCATCCCCCCTGGGGCTTGGAGCCCTTACTGGGAGTTACTGGGAGCACTGGGAGGGGGCAGGGGCGGCCTCGGGGATCGCCGTGGGGGGCTTCGAGTGGAGCGTGAGCGCCCCCTGCTGGGCATATCGCGATATGACACCCCCCTGATCAATCCCTGGGGGCACTGGGGGCACTGGGAGTTACTGGGAGCACTGGGAGGGGACCGGGGCGGCCTCGGGGATCGCCGTGGGGGGCTTCGAGTGGAGCGTGAGCGCCCCCCTGTGGGCATATCGCGATATGACACCCACCTGATCAATCCCTGGGGCACTGGGAGCACTGGGAGCACTGGGAGCCCTTACTGGGAGCCCTTACTGGGAGCACTGGGAGGGGACCGGGGCGGCCTCGGGGATCGCCGTGGGGGGCTTCGAGTGGAGCGTGAGCGCCCCCTGCTGGGCATATCGCGATATGACACCCACCTGATCAATCCCTGGGAGCACTGGGAGCACTGGGAGCCCTTACTGGGAGCACTGGGAGCACTGGGAAGGGACCGGGGCGGCCTCGGGGATCGCCGTGGGGGGCTTCGAGTGGAGCGTGAGCGCCCCCTGCTGGGCATATCGCGATATGACACCCACCTCATTGAGCCCCGGGGACACTGGGAGCCCTGGGAGCCCTTACTGGGAGCACTGGGGGCACTGGGAACCCCTACTGGGAGCACTGGGAGCCCTCACTGGGAGCACTGGGAGCCCTTACTGGGAGCACTGGGAGCACTGGGAGCCCTGGAACTCATACTGGGCATACTGGGAACCCTTACTGAGAGCACTGGGAGCCCTTACTGGGAGCACTGGGAGCCCTTACTGGGAGCACTGGGAGCACTTACTGGGAGTACTGGGAGCCCTTACTGGGATGCACTGGGTGCACTGGGACCCATTCTGGGAGCACTGGGAGCACTGGAGCACATACTGGGAGCACTGGGAGCACTGGGAGCACTGGGAGCCCTACTGAGAGCACTGGGAGCCCTGAAGCCCTTACTGGGAGCACTGGGAGCACTGGGAACTCATACTGAGAGCACTGGGAGCCCTCACTGGGAGCACTGGGAGCCCTTACTGGGAGCACTGGGAGCCCTCACTGGGAGCACTGGGAGCACTGGGAACTCATACTGAATGTACTGGGAGCACTGGGAGCCCTTACTGGGAGCACTGGGAGCCCTTACTGGTCAGTAATGGTGCCCTGGGACCCCATTCTGAGAGCACTGGGAGGCCTGGAACCCATACTGGGAGCACTGGGAGAACATACTGGGAACACTGGGAGCACTGGGAGCCCTTACTGGTCTGTACTGGTGCCCTGGGACCCCATTCTGGGAGCACTGGGAGCCCTTACTGGGGGCACTGGGAGCACTGGGAGCCCTCACTGGGAGCCCTTACTGGGAGCACTGGGAGCCCCGGGAGTCCTTACTGGGAGCACTGGGAGCCCCTACTGGGAGCACTGGGAGCCCTGGAACCCATACTGGGAGCACTGGGAGCACTGGGAGCCCTCACTGGGGGCACTGGGAGCCCCGTGAGCCCTTACTGGGAACACTGGGAGCACTGGGATGCATACTAGGAGCCCTGGAACTCACACTGGGAGCACTGGGAGCCCTCACTGGGGGCACTGGGAGCCCAGGGAGCCCTTACTGGGAGCCCCGTGAGCCCTCACTGGGAGCACTGGGAGCCCTGGAACCCATACTGGGAGCCCGGGGAGCCCTTACTGGGAGCACTGGGAGCCCTTACTGGTCCGTACTGGTGTCCCAGGGGATGTTCATCGTCCTCCTGCTGGGCTGGGTCTTCGTCCCCATTTACCTGAAGGCCGGGGTGAGTGGGGGCAACTGGGAGCACTGGGAGGGACTGGGGGGGCACTGGGAGGGGACTGGGGGGCACTGGGAGGGGATTGGAATAAACTGGGAGGGACTGGGAGGGGATTGGGGGCACTGGGAGGGACTGGGAGGGACTGGTTTATACTGGTCTATACTGGTTTGTACTGGTCTGTACTGGTTTATACTGGTTTACACTGCTTTATAGTGGTCTATACTGGTCTGTACTGGTTTATACTGGTCCCCTTGTCCATACTGGTCCATTCTCATCCACACTGGTCCTTACTGGTGTAAACTGTTCTATACTGGTCCATAGCGACCCATACTGGTTTATACTGGTTTGTACTAGTCTATACTGGTTTATACTGGTCTGTACTGGTTTATACTGGTCTATACTGGCTTATAGTGGTTTACACTGGTCTATACTGGTTTATCCTGCTCCCTTCTCCATACTGGTCCATTCTCATCCATACTGGTCCATGCTGGTTTGAACTGCTCTATACTGGGCCAAACTGGTCCAAACTGGTCCGTAGTGGTTTATACTGGCCCGTACTGGTCCATACTGGTCTATACTGGTCTGTACTGGTCTATCCAGGTGTCGACCATGCCCGAGTACCTGGGCAAGAGGTTCGGGGGGGGGCGGATCCAGCTCTACCTGGCCCTGCTCTCGCTGGGCCTCTACGTGTCCACCAAGATCTCGGTACTGGGAGCACTGGGAGGGACTGGGAGGCACTGGGAGGGCACTGGGAGGGGACTGGGGGGCACTGGGAGGGACTGGGAGGGCACTGGGAGGGGACTGGGAGGCACTGGGAGGGACTGGGAGGCACTGGGAGGGACTGGGAGGGCACTGGGAGGGACTGGGAGGGGATTGGAGGACTGGGGCACTGGGAGGCACTGGGAGGCACTGGGAGGGGATTGGGGCACTGGGAGGGACTGGGAGGCACTGGGAGGCACTGGGAGGGATTGGGGGCACTGGGAGGACTGGGAGGGGATTGGGGGCACTGGGAGGCACTGGGAGGGCACTGGGGGCACTGGGAGGGACTGGGAGGGATTGGAGGGCACTGGGAGGCACTGGGGGCACTGGGAGGGACTGGGAGGGGATTGGGGGCAACTGGGAGGCACTGGGAGGCACTGGGGTGCACTGGGAGGGACTGGGAGGGGATTGGGGGCACTGGGAGGCACTGGGGGCACTGGGAGGGACTGGGAGGGGATTGGGGGCACTGGGAGGGACTGGGAGGGCACTGGGAGGCACTGGGAGGGGATTGGGGGGCACTGGTCCATACTGGGAGGGACTGGGAGGGCTCCCCATGGGGTCTGGGGGGGTCCCTATTTAAATTTTGGGGTCCCCTCTGAAATTTTGGGATCCCCCATGAACTTTTGGGGTCCCCCCCTGTGAATTTGGGGTCCCCCATGAAATTTTTTGGGGTGTCCCTCTGGAATTTTGGGGTTTCCCCTGTAATTTTGGGGTCCCTGTGGGGTCCCTCTGGAATTTTTGGGGCCCGTATCGAATTTGGGGGGCTCCCCCCTGGAATTTTGGGGTATCCCCCCATGTAAATTTTTGGGATCCCCCCATGTAAATTTTTGGGGTCTCCCTCTGGAATTTTGGGGTCCCCCCTGTAAATTTGGGGTCCCCCATGAAATTTTTTGGGGTCCCCCTCTGGAATTTTGGGGTCCCCTCTGGAATTTTGGGGTCCGTATCAAATTTGGGGGGTTCCTCCCTGTAATTTTGGGGTTCCCCATAGAATTTTGGGGTTCCCCATAGATTTTGGGGTCCCCTCTGTAATTTTGGGGTCTGTATTGAATTTTGGGGTGCTGTTCCAGGTGGACATGTACTCTGGGGCACTGTTCATCCACGAGGCGCTGGGCTGGGACCCCGCAGAATTTGGGGTTCCCCCATAGATTTTTGGGGTCCCCTCTGTAATTTTGGGGTCCCCCCATGTAATTTTGGGGTCCCCCCTATAATTTTGGGGTCCCCCCACCCCCTATTTCAGGTGGACATGTACTCGGGGGCGCTGTTCACCCGCCAGGCGCTGGGCTGGGACCCCACAGAATTTGGGGGGTGCCCTGTAATTTTGGGGTCTCCTCTGTAATTTTGGGGTCCCCCATAGAATTTTGGGGTCTCCTCTTGATTTTTGGGGTCCCCCCACCCCCTTTTTTAGGTGGACATGTACTCGGGGGCGCTGTTCACCCACCAGGTGCTGGGCAGGGACCCCACAGAATTTGGGGTGCCCCCATGTAAATTTTGGGGTCTCCTCTGTAATTTTGGGGTTCCCCATGTAATTTTGGGGTCCCCCATGTAAATTTTGGGGTGCTGTTTCAGGTGGACATGTACTCTGGGGCGCTGTTCACCCGCCAGGCGCTGGGCTGGGACCCCACAGAATTTGGGGTGCCCCCATAGAATTTGGGGTGCCCCCATAGAATTTTGGGGTGCCCCCATAGAATTTTGGGGTCCCCCCCACAATTTTGGGGTCTCCCACCCCCTATTTTAGGTGGACATGTACTCTGGGGCGCTGTTCATCCGCGAGGCGCTGGGCTGGGACCCCACAGATCTTGGGGTGCCCCACAAATTTTGAGGTTCCCATTTCGGGTCCCCCGTAATCTGGGTGATTTTCCAGGTGGACACGTACTCGGGGGCGCTGTTCATCCGCCAGGCGCTGGGCTGGGACCCCACAGAATTTGGGGGGTGTCCCTGTAATTTTGGGGTCTCCTCTGTAATTTTGGGGTCTCCTCTGTAATTTTGGGGTCCCCTCTGTAATTTTAGGGTCCCCCCTATAATTTTGGGGTGATTTTTTAGGTGGACATGTACTCTGGGGCGCTGTTCATCCACGAGGCGCTGGGCTGGGACCCCACAGAATTTGGGGTGTCCCCATAGAATTTTGGGGTTCTCCTCTGTAATTTTGGGGTTCCCCCTGTAATTTTGGGGTCCCCCATGTAAATTTTGGGGTGCTGTTTTAGGTGGACATGTACTCTGGGGCGCTGTTCACCCACGAGGCGCTGGGCTGGGACCCCACAGAATTTGGGGTGTCCCCATAGAATTTTGGGGTTCTCCTCTGTAATTTTGGGGTCTGTATCGAATTTTGGGGTCCCCCCCATGATTTTGGGGTGCTGTTCCAGGTGGCCATGTACTCGGGGGCGCTGTTCACCCACGAGGCGCTGGGCTGGGACCCCACAGAATTTGGGGTGCCCCCATGTAAATTTTGGGGTTCCCCATGTAATTTTGGGGTCCCCCCCATAATTTTGGGGTGCTGTTTCAGGTGGACATGTACTCGGGGGCGCTGTTCATCCGCGAGGCGCTGGGCTGGGACCCCACAGAATTTGGGGTTCCCCCATGTAAATTTTGGGGTTCCTATATAATTTTAGGGTCCCCCCTGTAATTTTGGGGTCCCCCCTATAATTTTGGGGTCCCTTTTTTAGGTGGACATGTACTCGGGGGCGCTGTTCATCCGCCAGGCGCTGGGCTGGGACCCCACAGAATTCGGGGTGCCCCCATGTAAATTTTGGGGTCTCCTCTGTAATTTTGGGGTCTGTATCAAATTTTGGGGTCCCCCCCATAATTTTGGGGTGCTGTTCCAGGTGGACATGTACTCGGGGGCGCTGTTCATCCGCGAGGCGCTGGGCTGGGACCCCACAGAATTTGGGGTTCCCCCATAGAATTTTGGGGTCTCCTCTGTAATTTTGGGATCTGTATCAAATTTTGGGGTCCCCCCCGTGATTTTGGGGTGTCTGTGCCCCCTTTTCCAGGTGGACATGTACTCGGGGGCGCTGTTCATCCACGAGGCGCTGGGCTGGGACCCCACAGATTTTGGGGTGCCCCCATGTAAATTTTGGGGTTCCTATATAATTTTAGGGTCCCCCATGGAATTTTGGGGTTCCCTCTGTAATTTTGGGGTCCCCCCACCCCCATTTTTAGGTGGACATGTACTCTGGGGCGCTGTTCATCCGCGAGGCGCTGGGCTGGGACCCCACAGAATTTGGGGTGCCCCCATAGAATTTTGGGGTTCCCCATAGAATTTTGGGGGTCCTATATAATTTTAGGGTCTCCTCTGTAATTTTGGGGTCCCCTCTGTAATTTTGGGGTCCCTTTTTCAGGTGGACATGTACTCGGGGGCGCTGTTCATCCGCGAGGCGCTGGGCTGGGACCCCACAGATTTTGGGGTTCTCCCATAGAATTTTGGGGTTCCCCCTGTAATTTTGGGGTCCCCCCCGTGATTTTGGGGTCCCTTTTCCAGGTGGACATGTACTCGGGGGCGCTGTTCACCCGCCAGGCGCTGGGCTGGGACCCCACGGAATTTGGGGGGTCCCCCATTGAATTTTGGGGTCCCCCATAGAATTTTGGGGTCTCCTTTGTAATTTTGGGGGTCCCCCTGTAATTTTGGGGTCCCCCCCATGATTTTGGGGTGCTGTTTTAGGTGGACATGTACTCGGGGGCGCTGTTCATCCGCCAGGCGCTGGGCTGGGACCTCGCAGATTTTGGGGTGACCCCATAGAATTTTGGGGTTCCCCATAGAATTTTGGGGTTACCCCCATAATTTTGGGGTGTCTGTGCCCCCTATTTCAGGTGGACATGTACTCTGGGGCGCTGTTCACCCACCAGGCGCTGGGCTGGGACCCCACAGATTTTGGGGTGCTCCCATGTAAATTTTGGGGTTCCTATATAATTTTAGGGTCCCCCCTATAATTTTGGGGTCCCCCATGTAAATTTTGGGGTCCCTTTCCCAGGTGGACATGTACTCTGGGGCGCTGTTCATCCGCCAGGCGCTGGGCTGGGACCCCACAGAATTTGGGGTGCCCCCATAGAATTTTGGGGTTCCCCATAGAATTTTGGGGGTCCTATATAATTTTAGGGTCCCCCATGGAATTTTGGGGTTCCCTCTGTAATTTTGGGGTCCCCCCACCCCCATTTTTAGGTGGACATGTACTCTGGGGCGCTGTTCATCCGCGAGGCGCTGGGCTGGGACCCCACAGAATTTGGGGTGCCCCCATAGAATTTTGGGGTCCCCTCTGTAATTTTGGGGTCCCCCCTATAATTTTGGGGTCCCTTTTCCAGGTGGACATGTACTCGGGGGCGCTGTTCATCCGCGAGGCGCTGGGCTGGGACCCCACAGAATTTGGGGTGTCCCCATAGAATTTTGGGGTTCTCCTCTGTAATTTTGGGGTCTCCCATGTAATTTTGGGGTCCCCCCATGATTTTGGGGTGCTGTTCCAGGTGGCCATGTACTCGGGGGCGCTGTTCATCCACGAGGCGCTGGGCTGGGACCCCACAGAATTTGGGGTTCCCCCATGTAAATTTTGGGGTTCCCCATGTAATTTTGGGGTCCCCCCCATAATTTTGGGGTGCTGTTTTAGGTGGACATGTACTCGGGGGCGCTGTTCATCCGCGAGGCGCTGGGCTGGGACCCCACAGAATTTGGGGTGCCCCCATGTAAATTTTGGGGTCTCCTCTGTAATTTTGGGGTTCCCCCCGTGATTTTGGGGCTCCCCCCGTGATTTTGGGGTGATTTTCCAGGTGGACATGTACTCGGGGGCGCTGTTCATCCGCGAGGCGCTGGGCTGGGACCCCACAGAATTTGGGGTTCCCCATAGAATTTTGGGGTCTGTATCAAATTTTGGGGTCCCCCCGTGATTTTGGGGTCCCTTTTTTAGGTGGACATGTACTCTGGGGCGCTGTTCATCCGCGAGGCGCTGGGCTGGGACTCCTACGCCCACTGGGGGGGCCTCTGCTCAGGCCACCGCTGTCTACACCGTCACTGGTGGGCGGGCAGGGAGGGGAGGAGGCCTGGGGAGGGTGGAGTGTGGCCTACTGATGCGGCGTGGCCACTGAGGGAGGGGTCAGAAGGGGTGGCAAGGAAAGGAAGGGGGAAGGAGGGAGGGGGTGTGGTTTTCAAAGGGGGCGTGGCTTTAAAGAGGGCGTGGCCACACGGAGGAGGGTGGGGTAAAGGGGCGTGGTCAAAGTGGGTGGGGTTATAATGGCAGGGGCCCAAGGGGGTGATTGGGGAAATGGGCGTGGCTTTTAAAGCAGGGGGCGTGGCCACACATGGGGCGTGGTCCAGGATGGGGTGTGGTCTGGGATGGGGCGTGGTCAAAGAGGGTGTGAATAAAGGGGCGGGGTCAAAGAGGGAGGGGTTTAATGGGAGGGGCTCTAAGGGTGGTGGTGGAAATGGGTGTGGTTAAGAGGGCGTGGCCAAAAGAAGGGGGCGTGGCCACACATGGGGCGTGTGTAGAATGGGTGTGGTCAAGGTGTGGATAAAGGTGTGGTCAAAGAGGGAGGGTTTTAATGGGAGGGTTTAAGGGTGGTGGTGGAAATGGGTGTGGTTTAGAGGTGGGGGCGTGGCCAAAAAGAAGGGCGTGGTCTAGAACGGGGTGTGGTCTAGGATGGGGCATGGTCAAAGGGGGTGTGGTTAAAGGGGTGTGGTCAAAGAGGGCGGGGTTTTAATGGGAGGGGTTTAAGGGGTGGTGGTGGAAATGGGTGTGGCTTTTAAGGGAGGGGGCGTGTCCAAAAGGGAAGGGGCGTGGCCACACATGGGATGTGGTCTGGAATGGGGTGGTCAGGCAATGGTAGCGGAGCGTGGTCAAGAGGGGAGGGGTTAATGGGAGGGTTTAAGGAGGGTTGTAGTAAATGGAGTGTGGCAGAGGGCGTGGCAAAAAAGAAGGGGCGTGGTCTAGGATGGGACGTTGTCAACGAGGGTGTGGTTAAAGGCGCAGCACAAAGAGCGGCGGTTTAATGGGAGGGGCCTAAGGGGTGATGGTGAAAGGGGTGGTTCAAGAGGGGCGTGGCCAAAAGGGCATGGTCTAGAACAGGTGTGGCTTAGGATGGGGCGTGGCCAAAGAGGTGTGGTTGGGGCATGGTCAAAGAGGGCGGGGTTTTTAATGGGAGGGGCCTAAGGGTGGTGGAAAGGTGTGGTTAAGAAGGGTGTGTGGCCAGAGATAGGGCGTGTCCATAAAGTGGGGTGTGGTCTTGGATGGGGTTGTGGTCAGAGGGGTGTGGTTAAAGGGGCGTGGTCAAAGAGGGCGGGGTTTTAATGGGAGGGGTCTAAGGGGTGGTGGTAGAAATGGGTGTGGTCATGAGGGGGCGTGGCCAAAAAAGGGGCGTGGTCTAGGACAGGGTGTGTCTTAGGATGGGACGTGGTCAAAGGGGGTGTGGCTAAAGGGGTGTGGTCAAAGAGGCGGGGGTTTTAATGGGAGGGTTAAGGGGTGGTGGTGGAAATGGGTGTGGTTTAGAGGTGGGGGTGTGGCCAAAAAGAAGGGGTGTGGTCTAGGATGGGGTGTGGTCAAAGAGGGTGTGGTCAAAGGGGCAGGGTCAAAGAGGGTGGGGTTAAAGTGGGAGGGGTCTAAGAAGGAGTGGGTGGGGGAAGAGGGGGCGTGGCCTGGTGACAAAGGGGGCGTGGTCTGGCGATAAAGGGGGCGTGTCCTGACCGAGGGGGCGTGGCCTGCAGGGGGCCTGGCGGCGCTGATGTTCGCAGACCTCCTGCAGACCCTCATCATCGTCCTGGGGGCCTCCGTGCTGGCCGGATACGGTGGGGACTGGGAGCACTGGGAGGCACTGGGAGGGACTGGGAGGGACTGGGAGGGAGTGGGAGGGGACTGAGAGGGACTGGGAGGGGATTGGAGGAGACTGGGAGGGACTGGGAGAGATTGGGAGGGACTGGAAGGGAAGAGGGAGGGACTGGGAGAGACTGGGAGGGACTGGGAGAGATTGGGAGGGGCTGGAAGGGAGAGGGAGGGACTGGGAAAGACTGGGAGGGACTGGGAGGGACTGGGAGGGACTGGGAGGGGATTGGGAGGGACTGGGAGGCAGATTGGTCCATACTGATCTTTACTGGTTTTTACTGGTCTATACTGACCCACACTGATCTATACTGGTCCTTACTGGTCCGTACCAGTCTATTCTGATCCACATTGATCTATACTGGTCCATACTGGTCCGTACTGACCCACATTGAGCAGTACTCATTCATACTGGTCCATACTGGTCCTTACTGGTCCATACTGGTCCTTACTGGTCCACACTGATCCATGTTGATCTATACCAGTCCAAACTGGTCCATACTGATATTTATTGATCCATACCGGTCCATACTGGTCCTTATTGATCTATACTGGTCCATACTGGTCCGTACTGATCCGTATTGATCCGTACCCATTCATACTGGTTCATACTGGTCCTTACTGGTCTGTACTAATCCATATTAATCTATACTGGCCCTTACTGGTCCTTATTGATCCATACTGGTCCTTACTGATCCATACTGGTCCTTATTGATCTGTACTTGTTCATACTGGTCTGTAGTGGTCCTTACAGGTCCATACTGGTCCTTACTGACCACCATGGATCTATACTGGTCCATACTGATCCACATTGATCTATACTGGTCCACACTGGTCCTTACTGGTCCTTACTGACCACCATGGATCTATACTGGTTCATACTGGTCTATACTGATCCATATTGATCTGTACTGGTCCGTACTGACCCGCATTGATCAGCACTCATTCGTGCTGGTCCTTACTGGTCCATACTGGTCCTTACTGGTCCATACTGGTCCTTACTGGTCCTTACCGACCACCATGGATCTATACTGGTCCGTACCGGTCCATACTGATGCTTATTGATCAATATACTGGTCCGTACTGCTCCATATCGATCTATACTGGTCCTTACTGGTCCATACTGGTCCTTACTGGTCCTTACCGGCCACCATGGATCTATACTGGTCCATACTGATCCTTATTGATCAATATACTGGTCCATACCAGTCCATACTGATCCTTATTGATCTATATACCGGTCCGTACCAGTCCATACTGGTCCGTACTGCTCCACATCGATCTATACTGGTCCTTACTGGTCCATACTGGTCCTTACTGGTCCTTACTGACCACCATGGATCTATACTGGTCCATACCAGTCCATACTGATCCTTATTGATCAATATACTGGTCCGTACCAGTCCATACTGGTCCGTACTGCTCCACATCGATCTATACTGGTCCTTACTGGTCCATACTGGTCCTTACTGGTCCTTACTGACCACCATGGATCTATATCTGGTCCATACCGGTCCATACTCGATCCTATTGATCAATATACTGGTCCGTACCAGTCCATACTGGTCCGCACCTGCCACATCGATCTATACTGGTCCTTACTGGTCCATACTGGTCCTTACTGGTCCTTACTGACCACCATGGATCTATACTGGTCCATACTGGTCCTTACTGGTCCTTACTGGTCCATACTGGTCCTTACTGACCACCATGGATCTATACTGGTCCATATCAGTCCATACTGACCCTTATTAATCAATATACTGGTCCGCACCAGTCCATACTGGTCCGTACTGCTCCACATCGATCTATACTGGTCCTTACTGGTCCATACTGGTCCTTACTGGTCCTTACTGACCACCATGGATCTATACTGGTCCATACCGGTCCATACTGATCCCATTGATCTCATATACTGGTCCCGCACTCAGTCCATACTCAGTCCGTACTGCTCCATATCGATCTATACTGGTCCTTACTGGTCCGTACTGGTTTTCCCCCCGCCCCGGGGCCAGCGCTGACGGCCGTGGGGGGCTACGAGGGGCTGCTGAGCGCTACCCCTGGCCCTGCTCCCCCAACGCGACGGCCCTGCGGGAGGCCCCGCCGACGCTCTCCACCTCCTCCGCCACCCCAGCACGGGGACTCTAGCCCTGGCCCGGCCTCATACTGGGACTGGGCATCATCTCCGCCTGGTACTGGTGCACCGACCAGGTGAGGGGTGAAAGGGGGGGACTGGGAGGGGCTGGGAGGGAGTAGGAAGGGATTGGGGGGCACTGGGAGGCACTGGGAGGGGACTGGGAGGGACTGGGATGAGATAAGGGGACACTGGGAGGGACTGGGAGGGACTGGGAGGGGAGTGGGAGGCACTGGGAAGCACTGGGAGGCACTGGGAGGGGAGTGGGAGGGAACTGGGAGGGACTGGGATGAGATAAGGGGACACTGGGAGGGACTGGGGAGGAGTGGAGGCACTGGGAGGCATTGGGAGGCACTGGGAGGGAGTGGGAGGAACTGGGAGGGACTGGGATGAGATAAGGGGACACTGGGAGGGACTAGGAGGGACTGGGAGGGAGTGGGAGGCACTGGGAGGCACTGGGAGGCACTGGGAGGGGGAGTGGAGGAACTGGGAGGACTGGGGATGAGATAAGGGGACACTGGGAGGGACTGGGAGGGGAGGGGAGCACTGGGAGGCATTGGGAGGCACTGGGAGGAGGGAGTGGGAGGGAACTGGGAGGGAATGGGATGAGATAAGGGGACACTGGGAGGGACTGGGAGGAAAGTGGGAGGGACTGGGAGGGACTGGAAGGGGAGTGGGAGGCACTGGGACGGGCTTTTGGGGGGCACTGGGAGGCACTGGGCTGTAACTGGAGGCACCGGGATAGCACTGGGATGGCACTGGGAGGCACTGGGAGCACTGGGACGTAAGTAAGATGGCACTGGGACGTAACTGGGAGGCACTGGGAGCACTGGGAGGCACTGGGAGCACTGGGACATAAGTAAGATGGCACTGGGACGTAACTGGGATGGCACTGGGAGCACTGGGAGCACTGGGACGTAACTAAGACGGCACTGGGATGTAACTGGGAGCACTGGGGCGTAACTGGGAGGCACTGGGAGCACTGGGACGTAAGTAAGATGGCACTGGGACGTAACTGGGAGGCACTGGGAGCACTGGGACATAAGTAAGATGGCACTGGGACGTAACTGGGAGGCACTGGGAGCACTGGGAGCCCCTCCCTCACCCCCCCCCGCAGGTGATCGTGCAGCGCTGCCTCGCCGGCCGCTCCCTCACCCACGTCCGGGCCGGCTGCGTCGTCTGCGGGTACCTCAAAGTGCTGCCCATGTTCCTCATGGTCCTGCCCGGAATGGCCGCCCGCGTCCTCTTCCCGGGTCAGCCCCTCCCCCCCTCCACACCCCCCCCCGGGGCCTCGTGGTCCCCAAACTTGAGGTCAAAATGAGCCTCCTCAAGATGGGTGCCCAACTGTAGATGGCTGCCAAGATGGCTGCCAAGATGGCTGCCAAGATGGCTGCCAAGATGGCCGTCGGATGGTGTGAGCGATATGGCTGCCAAGATGGCTGCCAAGATGGCCGTCAGATGGTGTGAGCAATATGGCTGCCAAGATGGCTGCCAAGATGGCCGTCGGATGGTGTGACCAATATGGCTGCCAAGATGGCTACCAGGTCAATACGGCCATGTGACTATTCAAGATGGCCACCAAGATGGCCGCCAAGATGACCATCAAATGGCATAAGCAGTAGGGCCACCAGGGCAATATGGCCACGTGACCATTCAAGATGGCCGCCAAGATGACCATCAAATGGCATAAGCAGTAGGGCCACCAGGGCAATATGGCCACGTGACCATTCAAGATGGCCACCAAGATGGCCGCCAAGATGACCATCAAATGGCATAAGCAGTATGGCCCCCAGGGCAATATGGCCACGTGACCATTCAAGATGGCTTCCAAGATGGCTGTCGAATGGCATGAGTAATATGGGTTCCAATATGGCCTCCTGGGCAATATGGCCGCCCCATGTGGCCCTGCAATATGGCCACGTTACCATTCAAGATGGCTTCCAAGATGGCCGTCGAATGAAGTGAGTAATATGACCGTCAATATGGCCACCTGTGCAATATTGGCCATATTGGGCGGCCATCTTGAATTTTCATTATATCATCCATATTGGGCAGCCATCTTGAATTTTCACTATAGTGACCATATTGGGCAGCCATCTTGAATTTTCACTATGGTGGCCATATTGGGCAGCCATCTTGAATTTTCACTATGGTGGCCATATTGGGCAGCCATCTTGAAACCCCTACTGGGAGGCCATCTTGGATATTCATTAGTTCAGTCATATTGGGCAGCCATCTTGAATTTTCACTATAGTGGCCATATTGGGCAGCCATCTTGAATCCTCTACTGGGAGTCCATCTTGAATATTCATTATTTCAGCCATATTGGGTGGCCATCTTGAATTTTCATTATATCGACCATATTGGGCAGCCATCTTAAATTTTAACTATGGTGGCCATATTGGGCAGCCATCTTGAATCCTCTACTGGGAGTCCATCTTGAATATTCTTTATTTCAGCCATATTGGGTGGCCATCTTGAATTTTCACTATGGTGGCCATATTGGGCAGCCATCTTGAATTTTCATTATATCGACCATATTGGGCAGCCATCTTGAATTTTCATTATAGTGGCCATATTGGGCAGCCATCTTGAATCCTCTACTGGGAGTCCATCTTGAATATTCATTATTTCGACCATATTGGCAACCATCTTGAATTTTCACTATGGTGGCCATATTGGGCAGCCATCTTGAATTTTCACTATGGTGGCCATATTGGGCAGCCATCTTGAATTTTCACTATAGTGGCCATATTGGGCAGCCATCTTGAATTTTCACTATAGTGGCCATATTGGGCGGCCATCTTGAATTTTCACTATGGTGGCCATATTGGGCAGCCATCTTGAATTTTCACTATAGTGGCCATATTGGGTAGCCATCTTGAATTTTCACTATGGTGGCCATATTGGGCAGCCATTTTGAATCCCCCACTGGGAGGCCATCTTGAATATTCATTATTTCAGCCATATTGGGTAGCCATCTTGAATTTTCACTATAGTGGCCATATTGGGTAGCCATCTTGAATTTTCACTATAGTGGCCATATTGGGCAACCATCTTGAATTTTCACTATGGTGGCCATATTGGGCAGCCATCTTGAATTTTCACTATAGTGGCCATATTGGGCAGCCATCTTAAATTTTCACTATAGTGGCCATATTGGGCAGCCATCTTGAATTTTCATTATATCAACCATATTGGGCAGCCATCTTAAATTTTCACTATGGTGGCCATATTGGGCAGCCATCTTGAATCCTCTACTGGGAGTCCATCTTGAATATTCATTATTTCGACCATATTGGCAACCATCTTAAATTTTCACTATGGTGGCCATATTGGGCAGCCATCTTGAATTTTCACTATGGTGGCCATATTGGGCAGCCATCTAGAATCTTCTACTGGGAGACCATCTTGAATATTCATTAGGTCAGCCATATTGGTTGGAAATCTTGAATCCCCCACTGGGAGACCATCTTGAATATTCTATTGGGTGGCCATCTTGAATATTCACTATGGTGACCATATTGGGTGGCCATTTTGAATCCTCCACTGGGAGGCCATCTTGAATATTCCACTGAGAGGCCATCTTGGATCTTCCATTGAGTGACCATCTTGAACACTCACTATGGCAGCCATATTGGGCAGCCATCTTGAATCCCCCACTGGGAGACCATCTAGGATATTCTATTGGTCGGCCATCTTGAATATTTACCATAGTGGCCATATTGGGTGGCCATCTTGAATCCTCCACTGGGAGGCCATCTTGGATATCCTATTGGTCAGCCATCTTTGAAACTTACTAGAGAGGCCATATTGGGCAGCCATCTTGGATATTCCATTGGGAGGCCATCTTGGATTGTCCCCTTGAACCCTCTGTAGGGTGGCCATCTTGAATCACCACCACCTTTAACACTCGACCCAGAGGCCATCTTGAATCACCCCCCACCCAAATCGGGTGGCCATCTTAAAAAACAACCCCTCCCTCCCCCTTCACTCCCCAAAACCCGTGTCTGACTCCGCCCCCCCCTCATTTTGGCCCCTCCCCCCAGATGTCGTGGGCTGTGCTGACCCCCAGAACTGCGCCCGGGCCTGCGGCTCCCCCGTTGGCTGCTCCAACGTGGCCTACCCGAGGCTGGTGCTCACCCTGCTGCCCGCTGGTACATCTTCCAACTCTAATTAGGGGGTTATTAATCATTATTAGCAGTTATTAAGGTGTTATTAATTATTATTAGCGGTTATTTGGGCATTATTAATTATTACTAGCGGTTATTAGGGCGTTATTAATGGTTATTAGGCGTTATCCCATTTTTTTGCATCAATTAACCCCATTTTTTCTCCTAATAACTCCATTTTTCCTCCCGATAATCCCATTTTTCCTCCTAATAATCCTGGTTTTGGGTCTATTAATCCCCTTTCTTGTCCTATTAACCCCATTTTTGTATCAATTAATCCCATTTTATGTCAATTAATCTTATTTGCTGTTCAATGATCCCATTCTTCCTCTCAATAAGCCCATTTTTCCTCCCAATAACCCCATTTTTTTGCCCAATAATCCCATTTTTCCTCCCAGTAACCCTATTTTTGTGTCAATTAAACCCATTTCCCCTTATATTAACACCATTTTTTTGCCCATTAACCCCATTTTGTTGCCCGTTACCCCCATTTTTTTGCCCAATAACCCCATTTTTCCTCCTAGTAACCTTTTTTTTTTGTTAATTAACCCCATTTTTCCTCCTTTTAACCCCATTTTTTTTCCTTTGGTCAATTAATCCCATTTTGTGCCTACAAATCCCATTTTTGTCCTAACAATGCCAATTCTCTGCCCAATAACACAAATTTTTTGCCCGATAACCCCATTTTTTACCAATTACCCCCCTTTTTTTAATCAATTACTCCCATTTTTTCATCAGTTCCCCCCATTTTTCCTCCCCAAACCCCATTTTTTCCCTGTTTAACCCCATTTTTTGGTGTTTCCCCCCCCCAGGGCTGCGGGGGTTGATGCTGGCGGTGGTTCTGGCGGCGCTGATGTCGTCGCTGGCCTCGATCTTCGCCAGCTCCGCCGCCCTCTTCACCTTCGACGTCTACCAGAGGCTCCGCCCCCGGGCAGGGCCGCGCCACCTGCTCGTCGTCGGCAGGTGGGACACGCCCACCCCCCCAATTAGCCACCCATTAATTTAATTAGGGACCTATTAATGTCATTAATGACCTATTAATTCTTATTAAGGGACTAATAATTTAATTAGTGACCCATTAATTATTAGGACCCATTAATTGTTATTAGTGACCTGCTCGTCCTTGGCAGGTGGGACACGCCCACCCCCCCAATTAGCAACCCATTAATTTAATTAGGGACCTGTTAATGTCATTAATGATCCATTTATTGTTATCGGGGGCCTATTAATTGTCATTAGTGACCCGTTAATTGTTATTCGGGTCTGTTAATTGTCCTGAGTGACCCATTGACTGCAATTAGTGGCCCATTAATTGTCAATAGTGGCCCATTAATTCCTGTTAGTGACCCATTAATTATTAGGACCCATTAATTGTTATTAGTGACCTGCTCGTCGTCGGCAGGTGGGACACGCCCACCCCCTAATTAGCGACCCATTAATTTAATTAGAGACCTGTTAATGTCATTAATGACCCAATAATTGTTATTGGGGGACTATTAATTTAATCTAGAGACCCATTAATTGTTATTAGTGACCTGCTCGTCGTCGGCAGGTGGGACACGCCCACCCCCCCAATTAGCGACCCATTAATTTAATTAGGGACCTGTTAATGTCATTAATGATCCATTAATTGTCATTGGGGGCTTATTAACTGTCATTAGTGACCCGTTAATTGTTATTCGGGTCTGTTAATTGTCATGAGTGACCCATTGACTGCAATTAGTGGCCCATTAATTGTCAATAGTGGCCCATTAATTCCTGTTAGTGACCCATTAATTATTAGGACCCATTAATTGTTATTAGTGACCTGCTTGTCGTCGGCAGTTGGGACACGCCCACCCCTAATTAGTTTAATTAGGGGTCTAATAATGAAATTAATGACCTATTAATTGTAATTAGCGACCTATTAATTGTTATTGAGGTCTATTAATTGTCATTAGTGACCTATTAATTGTTATTAGAGACCTGTTTGTCATCAGCAGGTGGGACACGCCCACCCCCTAATTAGCCACCCATTAGTTTAATTAGGGACTTATTAATGTCATTAATGACCCATTAATTGTTATTGGGGGCCTATTAACTGTCATTAGTGACCCATTAATTATTAGGACCCATTAATTGTTATTAGTGACCTGCTCGTCATTGGTGGCTGGGACACACCCACCCCCCAAATTAGCAACCCATTAATTTAATTAGGGACCTATTAATGTCATTAATGACCCAATAATTGTTATTGGGGGCCTATTAATTGTCGTTAGTGATCCATTAATTATTAGGACCCATTAATTGTTATTAGTGACCTGCTCGTCGTCGGCAGGTGGGACACGCCCACCCCCAATTAGCGACCCATTAATTTAATTAGGGACCTGTTAATGTCATTAATGTAATGATCCATTCATTGTTATTGGGGACCTATTAACTGTCATTAGTGACCCATTAATTATTAGGACCCATTAATTGTTATTAGTGACCTGCTCGTCGTCGGCAGGTGGGACACGCCCACCGCCCCAATTAGCAACCCGTTAATTTAATTAGAGACTTATTAATATCATTAATGACCCATTAATTGTTGTTGGGGGCCTATTAACTGTCATTAGTGACTCATTAATTATTAGGACCCATTAATTGTTATTAGTGACCTGTTTGTCCTTGGTGGGTGGGACACGCCCACCCCCCTAATTAGCAACCCATTAATTTAATTAGGGACCTATTAATGTCTTTAATGACTTGTTAATTGTTGTTACTGGACCATTAATTTGGGCTATTGTTATTAGGGCCCTATTAATTAATATTAGTGGACCATTAATTGTTATTATTGGCCTATTAATTGTTATTAGTGACCCATTAACTGTCATTAGGGACCTATTAATGTCATTAATGACCCACTAATTGCCATTAGGGGCCTATTAATTGTCATTAGTGACCCATTTTTATTAGGGAATTATTGTCATTAGTGAGCCATTTATTGTTATTACTGGGTCATTAATTGTCATTAGTGATCCATTAATTGCCATTAGGGACTTATTAATTTAATTAACGACCCATTAATTTTTATTAGGGGGCTAATAATCGTTATTGATGACCCCTTAATCATCATTATTTTGTATTAGGGATCTATTAACGCTATTAACGACCCCAATAATGACATTATAACAACCAATAACTCCTCTTTTTTTAACGAATTGCCCTAATTAACAGGTGATTACCAGGGTGTGGGGGGTGGCCATGATGGGGGGCTATTAATTATTGACCCATTAATTGTTATTAGGGGGGTTATTAATCGCTATTAGTGACCCAATAAATGTTATTTGGGGGCTATTAATCGTTATTAATGACCCAATAATTTAATTAATTTTTATTAGGGGGCTGATAATCGTTATTAGTGACCCATACATTATTATTAGGGGGTTATTAATCGCTATTAGTGACCCATTGATCATCCTTATTTTCTATTAGGGGCCTATTAATGCTATCAACGACCCACGGGGGGGCCCTTAAATTTAATTAATCAATTAATTAACTTAGGGTGTGGGTGGTGGCGATGGTGGGGCTGAGCCTGGCGTGACTGTCAGTGGTGGGGGTGGCACGGGGGGAGGGGCAGCTCTTTGACCACGCCCATTAATAACGACTAATAATGACCAATAACTCCACTTTTTTGGATCAATTAACCCAATTAATGGGTGATTAACAGGGTGTGGGGGGTGGCCATGATGGGGGGCTATTAATTATTGACCCATTAATTGTTATTAGGGGGTTATTAATCGCTATTAGTGACCCATTTATTGTCATTAGGGTCCCACAGGGAGACCTATTAATCGTTATTAGGGACCCATTAATTGTTATTAGGGACCCATTAATTGTTATTAGGGACCTAATAATGTTATTGATGACCCATAGGGGGACCTATTAATCATTACTAGTGACCCATTAATGGTTATTAGTGACCTATTAATTGTTGTTAGGGGGCTATTGTTATTAGTGACTAATTAATTGCTATTAGGGCCCTATTAATTTAATTATTGACCCATTCATTTTTATAAGGGGGCTAATAATCGTTATTAATGACTTCTTAATCGTGATTATTTTTATTAGGGACCTATTAATGCTATTAACAACCTCAATAATGACGTTATAACAACCAATAACTCCTCTTTTTTTAACGAATTACCCTAATTAACAGGATGATTAGCAGGGTGGGGGGGGTGGCCATGAGGGGGGGCTATTAATTATTGACCCATTAATTGTCATTGGGGGGTTATTAATCGCTATTAGTGACCCAAAAAATGTTATTTGGGGGCTATTAATCGTTATTAGTGACCCAATAATTTAATTAGTGAGCCATTAATTTTTTTTAGGACCTACTAATTGTTATTAGTGACCCACTAATTTTTATTAGGGGGCTATTAATGACCCATTAATTGTCATTAGGGGCCCATTATTTTGTATTAGGGACCTATTAATGCTATTAACAACCTCAATAATGACGTTATAACAACCAATAACTCCTCTTTTTTTAACGAATTACCCTAATTAACTGGTAATTAATGGTGGCAATGGTGGGGCTGAGCCTGGCGTGGCTGCCGGTGGTGGGGGTGGCACGGGGGGAGGGGCAGCTCTTTGACCACGCCCATCAATAACGACTAATAATGACCAATAACTCCACTTTTTTGGATCAATTAACCCAATTAATGGTTAATTAACAGGGTGTGGGGGTGGCCATGATGGGGGGCTATTAATTATTGACCCATTAATTGTTATTAGGGGGGTTATTAATCGCTATTAGTGACCCAAAAAATGTTATTTGGGGGCTATTAATCGTTATTAATGACCCAATAATTTAATTAGTGAGCCATTAATTTTTATTAGGGGGCTGATAACCGTTATTAGTGACCCATAAATTATTATTAGGAGGCTATTAATCGCTATTAGTGACCCATTGATCATCCTTATTTTCTATTAGGGGCCTATTAATGCTATCAACGACCCACGGGGGGGCCCTTAAATTTAATTAATCAATTAATTAACTTAGGCTGTGGGTGGTGGCGATGGTGGGGCTGAGCCTGGCGTGGCTGCCGGTGGTGGGGGCGGCGCGGGGGGAGGGGCAGCTCTTTGACCACGCCCATCAATGATTCATAACGACCAATAACTCCATTTTTTTTGATCAATTAACCCAATTAATGGGTGATTAACAGGGTGTGGGGGGTGGCCATGATGGGGGGCTATTAATTATTGACCCATTAATTGTTATTGGGGGGTTATTAATTGCTATTAGTGACCCATTAATTGTCATTAGGGGCCCATTATTTTGTATTAGGGACCTATTAATGCTATTAATGACCCCAATAATGACGTTATAACAGCTAATAACTCCAGTTTTTTTAACGAATTACCCTAATTAACTGGTAATTAATGGTGGCAATGGTGGGGCTGAGCCTGGCGTGGCTGCCGGTGGTGGAGGCGGCACGGGGGGAGGGGCAGCTCTTTGACCACGCCCATCAATGATTCATAACGACCAATAACTCCACTTTTTTGGATCAATTAACCCAATTAATGGGTGATTAACAGGGTGTGGGGGTGGCCATGATGGGGGGCTATTAATTATTGACCCATTAATTGTTATTGGGGGGTTATTAATCACTATTAGTGACCCAATAAATGTTATTTGGGGGCTATTAATCGTTATTAATGACCCAATAATTTAATTAGTGAGCCATTAATTTTTATTAGGGGGCTGATAATCGTTATTAGTGACCCACTAATTTTTATTAGGGGGCTATTAATGACCCATTAATTGTCATTAGGGGCCCATTATTTTGTATTAGGGACCTATTAACGCTATTAACGACCCCAATAATGACGTTATAACAGCTAAGAACTCCATTTTTTTAATTAATTAACCTAATTAACTTAGGCTGTGGGTGGTGGCGATGGTGGGGCTGAGCCTGGCGTGGCTGCCGGTGGTGGAGGCGGCGCGGGGGGAGGGGCAGCTCTTCGATTACATCCAGGCCATGGCGAGTTACCTGGCCCCGCCCGTCGCCGCCGTCTTCGTCCTCGCCGTCTTCGTCCCCCGCGTCAACGAGCCCGTGAGTGGCGCCAAACGTGGGGCTAATTGGTGATTAATTGGTGACTAATTGGGTTAATTGGTGATTAATGGGCGTTTTGGGGTGATTAACGGGTTTCAATGGGGGCTAATGGGCGATTGATAGCTTTTAAGAGGTGCTAATTGGTAATTAATAGGGGTTAATAAGTGATTGATAGCTTCTAGTTGGTGATTAATAGGGCAATTTTGGGTAATTTCAGGGCAATTTCAGGCTACTTCAGGGCTTTTGGGGGCAATTTGGGGTCATTTTAGGGCAATTTCCCACCATTTCAGGACAAATTTTGGCCATTTTTGGGGCAACTTCCCACCATTTCAGGACAATTTGGAGTGGTTTGGGGCAATTTTGTTCCGCTTCGTTGCAATTTTTGGCCATTTAGGGGTAATTTTGTCCCATTTTGATCTAATTTTTCACCATTTTGGGGCAATTTCTCACCATTTGGGGGCAATTTGCGGTCATTCTGGGGTCATTTCGTTCCATTTGAGGGCGATTTTGCACGATTTTAAGGCAATTTGGGGCAATTTTTGACCATTTTGGGGCAAGTCTGGGTCAATTTTTCACCATTTCTAATTTTCCCCCCATTTCCCCCCTCCCCAGGGCGCTTTTTGGGGCCTGCTGGGGGGGCTGGTGCTGGGCCTGGTGCGGCTGGGGGGGGGAGGGGCTGCTAATTGGTGATTAATAGGGGCTAATGGGTGATTAATAGGGGCTAATGGGTGATTAATAGGGGCTAATTGGTGATTAATAGCTCTTATAGGTGATTAATGGGGCAATTTCGGGTCATTTTGGGCAATTTGGGGCCATTTCAGGGTAATTTGGGGCCATTTCAGGGTAATTTGGGGCAATTTTGGGGCCACTTCGGGGCGATTTTTCACCATTTCAGTGCATTTTTTGGACCATTTTGGGGCAATTTCTCCCCAATTCACAGCAATTTTTGGTCATTTCGGGGCAATTTGGGGCCGTTTTGGTGCAATTTGGGCCACTTTAGGGCCATTTGGGTCAGTTTTGGACCGTTTTGGGTCAATTTTGGCCATTTTAGTGCAATTTCAGGCCATTTGGGGGCTAATTTTGTCCCTTTTTCCCCCTCCCCAGGGCGCTTTTTGGGGCCTGCTGGGGGGGCTGGCGCTGGGCCTGGCGCTGCTGGGGGGGGGAGGGGCTGCTAATTGGTGATTAATAGCTTCTAATAGTGGGTAATTGTCAATTAATAGGGGCTTATAAGTGATTAATAGCTCCTATTGGTGATTAATAGGTGTTAATAGGTGATTAATGGGGCAATTTCGGGCCATTTCGGGGCAATTTGGGGCCATTTTGGGTCAATTTTTTGATCATTTCGGGATGATTTTGCACCATTTCAGTGCAAGTTTTGGCCATTTTCCTGCAACTTTTGGTCATTTCGGGGCATTTGGGGCCATTTTGGGGTCATTTTGGTCCATTGTGGCTCCAGTTTGGTCCAATTCAGGCCATTTTGGGGCAATTTTTGACCATTTTGGGGCAATTCGAGTCCATTTTGGGGTGATTTCGCACCATTTCAGTGCAATTTTTGGCCATTTCAGGGCCATTTCCCACCATTTCAGGGCAATTTGGGGCTGTTTTGGTGCAATTTTTCCACAGTTTCAGGGCAATTTGGGTCCATTTTGCTGCAATTTGTGGTGATTTTGGGGTCGTTTCACTCCGTTTTGGGTGATTTGGGGCCATTTTGGGATCATTTTGGGGGTCGTTTCGTTTGGTTTTGGGGCAATTTTTTTTCACCAATTTCATGGCATTGTGAGCCCAGTTTGGGGTGATTAGGTTCCATTTTGGGGTCATTTCAGGTCTTTTTGGGTCAATTTTTGGCCATTTTGGGTCAGTTTTTCACCATTTCGCTGCGATTTTTCACCATTTCCCGCTAATTTCGTCCCTTTTTCCCCCTTTTTTCCCCATTTCCCCCCTCTCCAGGGCGCTTTTTGGGGCCTGCTGGGGGGGTTGGCGCTGGGCCTGGCTCGGCTGATCCCGGAGGGGGGCGGAGTTTGATAATTAGTGATTAATAGGGGCTAATTTTGGGGCCATTTGGCACCATTTTGGGGCAATCTGGGTCCATTTCGGGTCAATTTCCCACCATTTCGCTGCAACTTTTCACCATTTCGGGACAACTTGGGGCCGTTTTGGTGCAGTTTGGGCCATTTTAGAGCCCTTTGGGTCAATTTTTGACCCTTTTGGGTCTATTTTTGGCCATTTTAGTGCAATTTCAGGGCATTTTGGGGCTAATTTTGTCTCTTTCCCCCTCCCCAGGGCGCTTTTTGGGGCCTGCTGGGGGGGCTGGCGCTGGGCCTGGCTCGGCTGATCCCGGAGGTGGCGCTGGGAGGGGACCCCGGGGTGGGGGAGGGCAGGAGGGTCCTGCGGGACCCCGGGCGCTGCCCCCGCGCCTCTGCGGCCTCCACTACCTGCACTCCGCTGCCCTCCTCTTCCTCGCCACCGCCGCCATCGCCGCGGGGTCTCGCTCTACCCCCCATCCCCAAGAAACACGTGAGTGGAGATTTTGGGGGGATTTGGGGGGTCCTTGAGGGTTTGAGGGTCCTGGAGGGGATTTGAGGGGTTTGAGGGTCTTTGAGGGGTTTGGGGGGTCCTAGAGGGATTTGAGGGTCCTGGAGGGGATTTAGGGGGGTCCTTGAGGGGAGTTTGAGGGGGTTAAAAGGTCCTGGAGGGGATTTGGGGGATGGTTTGGGGGTCCTTGAGGGGTTTGGGGGGTCCTTGAGGGGGTTTGGGGGGTCCTTGAGGGGTTTGAGGAGTCCTTGAGGGGGTTAAAAGGTCCTGGAGGGATTTGGGGGGTTCTTGAAAGGATTTGAGAGGGTTTGGGGGTCTTTGAGGGGTTTTGGGGGTCCTGGAGGGACTGGAGGGTCTTTGAGGGGATTTGAGGGGGTTTGGGGGTCCTGGAGGGATTTGGGGAGGGGTTTTGGGGGCTCCTCTTCCTCGCCACCGCACGCCATCGCCCATGAGGGTCTCAGCTCTGCCACCCCCATCCCCAAAAACACGTGAGTCCCGGGTTTGGGGGGTTAGGGGGTCCTGGAGGGATTTGAGGGGGTTTGGGGGTTCCTGGAGGGATTTGAGGGGTTTGAGGGTCTTTGAGGGGGTTTGGGGGTCCTAGAGGGGTTTGAGGGGTCCTTGAAAGGATTTGAGAGGGGTTTGAGGGTCTTTGAGGGGATTTGGGGGGTCTTTGAGGGAATTTCGGGGAGTCCTTGAGAGGATTTTGAGGGGGTCCTGGAGGGGATTTGAGGGTTTGGGGGTCCTGGAAGGGATCTGGGGAGTCCTTGAGGAGGGTTAAGGGTCCTGGAGGGGTTTGGGGGGATTTGAGGGATTTAGGGGTCCTTGAGGAGTTTGAGGGGGTTTGGGGTTCCTGGAGGGATTTGGGGGAGGGTTTGGGGGCTCCTCTTCCTCGCCACCGCCGCCATCGCTGGGGGTCTGCTCTGCCATCCCCATCCCAAGCACCTGAGTGGAGATTTTGGGGGTCTTTGAGGGGTCTGGAGGGATTTGAGGGGGTTTTGGGGGGTCCTTGAGGGGGTCTTGAGGGGGTTTTAGGGGGTCCTGGGGAGGGATTTGGGGGGAGGTTGGGGGGGTCCTGGAGGATTTGGGGGGTCCTGGAGGGGGTTTGGGGGATTTGGGGGTCTTTGAGGGGTTTCGGGGGTCCTTGAGGGGGCTTGGGGGGTTGAGAGGTCCTGGAGGAGTTTGGGGATGGTTTGGGTGGTCCTGGAGGGGTTTGAGGGGGTCCTGGAGGGGATTTGGGGGTCCTGGAGGGTTTGGGGGGGTCCTTGAGGGGTTTGGGGGTCCTGGAGGGGTTTGGGGGGTTTGGGGGGTCCTGGAGGGGGTTTGGGGGTCCTGGAGGGGTTTGGGAGGTTTGGGGGTCTTTGAGGGGTTTGGGGGTCCTGGAGGGGGTTCTGGGGGTCTTTGAGGGGTTTGGGGGGTCCTGGAGGGGTTTGGGGGGGTCCTTGAAGGGTCTTTGAGGGGTCTTTGAGGGGTTTAGGGGTTCCTGGAGGGATTTGAGGGAGGGGTTTGGGGGCTCCCTTCTCGCCACCGCCGCCATCGCTCTCAAACTGCAGTGGAGATTTTGGGGGTCTGGAGGGGTCCTTGAGGGGTTTGGGGGGTCCTGGAGGGGTTTGGGGTCCTGGAGGGGTTTGGGGAGGGTTTTGGGGTCTCTTCCGCGCCACCTGCGCCATCATTGCGGGGTCTCGGCTGCCACCCCATCTCCAAGAAGCACCTGAGTCCTGGAGGTTTGGGGGGGTTTGAGGGGTCTGGGAGGGGTTTGGGGGTCCTTGAGAGGGTCTTTGAGGGGTTTGGGGGTCCTGGAGGAGTTTGAGGGGTCCTGAAAGGATTTGAGGGTTTGAGGGTCTTTGAGGGGTTTGGGAGGTCTTTGAGGGAATTTCGGGGGTCCTTGAGGGGTTTTGGGGTCCTGGAGGAGATTTGAGGGGTTTGAGGGGTCCTGAGGGGGTTTGGGGGTCCTTGAGGGTTTGGGGATCCTTGAGGGAGTTTAGGGGGTCCTTGAGGGATTTAGGGATCCTTGAGGGGATTTGGGGTCCTGGAGGGGCTTTGGGGGTCCTGGAGGGGATCTGGGGGATCCTTGAGGGGTTTGGGGGTCCTGTGAGGGGTTTTGGGGTCCTTGAGGGGTTTGGGGGGTCCTGGAGGGGATTTGGGGGTCCTGGATGGGGTCTGGGGGTTAAAAGTACCAGAGAGGATTTGGGGGATGGTTTGGGGGGTCCTTTAGAGAGTTTGGGGGATCCTTGAGGGGGTTTGAGGGGTCCTTGGGAGGGTTAAAGGGTCCTTGAGAGGTTTGAGGGGTCCTTGAGGGGTTTGAGGGGTCCTGGAGGGGTTTGGGGGCTCCTCTTCCTCGCCACCGCTGCCATCGCCGCGGGGGTCTCGCTCTGCCACCCCCCCATCCCCAAAAAACACCTGAGTGGAGATTTTGGGGGGTCTTTGAGGGGGTTTGGGGTCCTGGAAAGGATCTGGGGGTCCTTGAGGGATTTGAGGTGGTCTTTGAGGGGTTTGAGGGGTTTGGGGGGTTTGGAGGGGGGTCTTTGAGGGGTTTGAGGAGTCCTGGAGGGGATCTGGGGGGGTCCTGGAGGGGATTTGAGGGGTTTGGGGGGATCCTTGAGGGGGTTTGAGGAGGTTAGAGGGTCCTGGAGGGGATTTGGGGATGGTTTGGGGGTCCTGGAGGGGTTTGAGGGTCTTGAGGGGGTTAAAGGGTCCTGGAGGGGATCTGGAGGGTCCTGGAGGGATTTGAGGAGGGTTTGGGGGGGCCTTTGAGGGGATTTGGGGGGTCTTTGAGGGGTTTCAGGGGTCTTTGAGGGGATTTGAGGGGGTTTGGGGGTCCTGGAGGGGAGTTTGGGCGATGGTTTTGGGGGTCTTTGAGGGTGTTTGGGAGGTCTTTGAGGGGGTTTGAGGGGTCCTTGAGGGGTTTAGGGGTCCTTGAGGGGTCTTTGAGGGGGTTTGGGGGTCCTGGAGAGGATCTAGGGGGTCCTTGAGGGGATTTGGGGGTCCTAGAGGGGGTTTGGGGAGTCCTGGAGGGGGTTTTGGGGTCCTGGAGGGAGTTTCAGGGAGTCTTTGAGGGGTCCTTGAGGGGATTTGGGGGAGTCCTTGAGGGGTTTTGGGGGTTCTTGAGGTGTCTTTGAGGGGTTTGGGGGGTCGTGGAGAGGTGTTTGGGGGGTCCTTGAGGGGTTTGGGGGGGTCTTTGAGGGGTCGTTGAGGGGTTGGGGGGTCCTTGAGAGAGTTTGGGGGGTCCTAGAGGGGTTTCAGGGGGTCTTTGAGGGGGTTTGAGGGGTCCTTGATGGGATTTGGGGGGTCCTTGAGGGGATTTGAGGGGTTTGGGGGTCCTGGAGGGAATTTGGGGGAGTCCTGGAGGGGTTTGGGGAGGTTAAAAAGTACTGGAGAGGATTTTGGGGATGGTTTGGGGGGTCCTTTAGAGGGTTTGGGGGTCCTTGAGGGGGTTTGGGGGTCCTTGAGGGGTTTTGGGGGTCCTGGAGGGGATTTGGGGGGTCCTGGAGGGGATTTGGGGGGTCCTGGGTGATTTTTAAGCCCCTCCAGCCGATTTTGGGCCCCCAACCTGATTTTAGGGTCCCAGATATTGGGGGGTCCGGGGTGAGTGAAGCCCCCTGACGATTTTGGGGTTTTCCCCAAATTTTGAGGGCAGCTCCACCGCTTGGTGTTCAGCCTGAGGAACAGCCGCGAGCCCCGCGTGGACCTGGACGGGCCCAAGGACCCCCCGTGCCCCTCCAGGGTGAGGGGACCCCAATTTGGGGAGTTGGGGGTCTGGGAGGTCAGGGGAGTCAAAATTTGGGGGGTTTGGGGTCTGGGGGTCCAAATTTGGGGTTTGGGGGTCCAAAGTGGACCTGGACACGCCCAAGGACCCCCCGTGCCCCTCAGGGTGAGGGGACCCCAATTTGGGGGTGGGGGGTCTGGGGGCAAAATTTGGGGATTTGGGGATCTGGGGGTACAAATTTGGGGTTTCAGGGGTCTAAAGGTCCTTGAGACCCCAAATTTGGGAGTTTAGGGAGTCTGGGGTCCAAATTTGGGGGTTTGGGGGTCCAAAGTGGACCTGGACACGCATGGACCCCCTGTGCCCCTCCAGGGTGAGGGGGACCCCAATTTGGGGGTTGGGGGTCTGGGGGCAAAATTTGGGGGATTTGGGGATCTGGGGGTACAAATTTGGGGGTTTCAGGGGTCTAAAGGGTCCTTGAGACCCCAAATTTGGGAGTTTGGGGGTCTGGGGTCCAAATTTGGGGGTTTGGGGGTCCAAAGTGGACCTGGACAGGCCCAAGGACCCCAGTCCCTCCAGGGTGAGGGGGACCCCAATTTTGGGGGTGGGGGGTCTGGGGGCAAAATTTGGGGATTTGGGGAGTCAGGGGTAAAAATTTGGGGGATTTAGGGGTCTGGGGGTCAAAATTTGGGGGTTTGGGGCAGTCTGGGGGTCCAAATTTGGGGTTTGGGGGTCCAAAGAGGACCTGGACGGCTCAAGGACCCCCGTCCCCTCCAGGGTGAGGGGACCCCAAATTTGGGGGTTGGGGGTCTGGGGGTCAAAATTTGGGGATTTGGGAGGGTCTGAGGGGTCGGGGGTCAAAATTTGGGGGTCTGGGGGTCAAAATTTGGGGGTCTGGGAGGTCAAAATTTGGGGATTTGGGGGCATCTGGGGGTCTGGGGTCAAATTTTGGGGGTTTTGGGAGGTTTAGGGGTCTGGGGGTCCCAATTTGGGGGTTTGGGGGTCCAGGTGACTTTGGGGACCCCAATTTGGAGAGGTTTGGGGAGTCTGGGGGTCAAAATTTGGGGGTTTGGGGATCTGGGAGTACAAATTTGGGGTTTCAGGGTCTAAAGGGTCACTTGAGACCCCAAATTTGGGGGTTTGGGGGTCTGGGGTCCAAATTTGGGGGTTTGGGGGTCCAAAGTGGACCTGGACAGACCCAAGGACCCCCGGCCCCTCCAGGGTGAGGGGGACCCCAATTTTGGGGGATCTGGGGGTCGGGGGTCAAAATTTGGGGGGTTTGGGGGTCTGGGAGTCAAAATTTGGGGTTTGGGGTCAAAATTTGGGGGTTTGGGAGTCTGGGGTCCAAATTTGGGGGTTTGGGGGTCTGGGGGTCCAAATTTGGGGGTTTGGGGGTCCAAAGTGGACCTGGACACGCCAAGGACCCCCAGCCCCTCCAGGGTGAGGGGACCCCAAATTTGGGGTTGGGGGTCTGGGGTCAAAATTTGGGGGTTTGGGGGTCAGGGTAAAAATTTGGGGATTTGGGGGTCGGGGTAAAAATTTGGGGGCTTTGGGGGATCCCAAATTTGGGGTTTGGGGGTCCAAATTTGAAGGTTTGAGGGTCTGGGCGTCAAAATTTTGGGGTTTGGGGGTCCAGGTGACTTTGGGGGTCCCAAATTTGGGGGAGCTTGGGGGTCCAAATTTGAAGGTTTGAGGGGTCTGGGGTCAAAATTTTGGGGATTTGGGAGGTCCAGTTGACTTTGGGGGTCCCCAAATTTTAGGGGGTTTGGGGTCCCAAATTTGAAGGTTTGGGGGATCTGGTGGTCAAAATGTGGGGGTTTCAGGGGTCTAAAGGGTCTTGGAGACCCCAAATTTAGGAGTTTGGGGGTCAAAATTTGGGGGGTTTGGGGGTCAAAATTTGGGGGTTTGGAGGGTCTCAAATTGGGGGTTTGGGGAGTCTGGGGGGTCAAAATTTGGGGGTTTGGGGGTCTGGGGGTCCCAAATTTGGGGGTTTGGGGGTTCCCAAGTTTGGGGGGGTTTGGGGTTCCCAAATTTGGGGAGGTTTGGGGGTCCCGAATTTGGGGGTTGGGGATCTGGGGGTCCAAATTTTGGGCTTTGGGGGTCCAGTTGACTTTAGGGGGTCCCCAAATTTTGGGGGTTTGGGGTCCCAAATTGGGGGGTTTGGAGGTTCCCAAATTGGGGGTTTGGGGGGTCCAAATTTGGGCGTTTGGGGGTCCTAAATTTGGGGGAGGTTGGGGGTCCAAATTTGAAGGTTTGGGGAGTCTGGGGTCAAAATTTGGGGAGTTTGGAGGATCCAAATTGGGGGTTTGGGGAGTCTGGGGGTCAAAATTTGGGGGGTTTGGGGGTCCTAAATTTGGGGGTTAGGGTCCAAATTTGAAGGTTTGAAGGGTCTGGGGTCAAAATTTTGGGGATTTAGGGGGTCCAGTTGACTTTGGGGGTCCCCAAATTTTGGGGGGTTGGGGGTCCCAAATTGGGGGTTTGAGGGGTCTGGGGGTCAAAATTTGGGGGTTTGGGGGTTCCCAAACTGGGGGTTTGGGGGTCCAAATTTGGGCGTTTGGGGGTCCTAAATTTGGGGGGGTTGAGGGTCCCAAATTGGGGGTTTGGGGAGTCAGCAGGGTCCCAAATTTGGGGGGTTTGAGGGCCCCAAATTTGGGGAGGTTTGGGGGTCCCAAATTTGTGGGGTTTGGGGATCTGGGGACCCCAATTTGGGGTTTGGGGGTCCCAAATTTGTGGGAGTTTGGGAGTCAGGGGACCCCAATTTGGGGGTTTGGAGGGTCCAGTTGACTTTGGGGGCTCCCCAAATTTTGGGGTGGGGGTGGTCCCACCCCTTAAAGGTCGCCCTCCCCCTTAGCCCTCCCCCAAAATGACCCCCAGATGTGGAGGCGGAGCCTTCGGCGCGGGGGCAGGGCCAGGAGCGGAGGGGGCGGGGCCGGCGGGAGGGGCGGGGCCTCCCGGGCGTGACCCCGCCCCCCGAGGACCCCCTGTGGGGCCGCGTGGTTGACGTCAACGCCCTCGTCCTGATGGGCGTGGCCTTCTTCCTGTGGGGATATTTCGCCTGAGGGGACCCCCAAAATAAACAAAAACACCCCAAAACACCCAAAAATGTGGGAAAATGACCTGAAAATGTGTCTGGGACACCCAAAAATGTGTGAAAATGACCCAAAAATGAGCGAAAATGACCAAAAATTGAGAAAAAAATGACTCAAAATGTGTGAAAATGACAAAAAAATGAGTGAAAATGACCCAAAAATGTGTGAAAATGACCAAAAATTGAGAAAAAAAGACTCAAAATGTGTGAAAATGACCCAAAAATGAGCAAAACCGGCACCAAATTACCCTAAAATGGGGTGAAATTGCCCCAAAATGACCTGAAATGAGCCCAAAATGGACCAAAATGACCCCAAAATGGCCCCAAATCCCCCCAAAAATGAGGAGTTCCTGTGGGGCTGTTTCACCTGAAGGGACCCTCCAAAATAAACAAAAACACCCCAAAAAACACCCCAAAATGTGTGGACCCGAAAATGTGTGAAAATGACCCAAAAATGAGCGAAAATGACCAAAAATTGAGAAAAAAAGACTCAAAATGTGGGAAAATGACCCAAAAATGAGCAAAAATGACCCAAAAATGTGTCTGGGACACCCAAAAATGTGTGAAAATGACCAAAAATGTGTGAAAATGACCAAAAAATGTGTGAAGATGGCACAAAAATGAGCAAAAATGATCAAAAATGTGTGAAAATGACCCCAAAAATGTGTCTGGGAGACCCGAAAATGTGGAAAACGACCCAAAAATGAGTGAAAATGACCAAAAATTGAGAAAAAAATGACTCAAAATGTGTAAAAAGGACCCAAAAATGTGGAAAAATGACCCAAAAATGTGTCTGGGACACCCAAAAATGTGTGAAAATGACCAAAAAATGTGTGAAAATGACCCAAAAATGAGCAAAAATGACCAGAATGTGGGAAAATGACCTAAAAATGTGTGAAGATGGCACAAAAATGAGCAAAAATGATCAAAAATGTGTGAAAATGAGCGAAAATGACCAAAAAATGAGTGAAAATGACCCAAAAATGAGTGAAAATGACCTTAAAATGTGGGAAAATTACCAAAAAAGGTGTCTGGGAGACCCAAAAATGTGTGAAAATGGCCCAAAAATTAGCGAAAATGACCCAAAAATGTGGGAAAATGACCCAAAAATGTGTGAAAATGACACAAAAAATGAGTGAAAATGACCCAAAAATGTGTCTGGGACACCCGAAAATGTGTGAAAATGACCAAAAAATGTGGGAAAATGAGAAAAAAATGTGTGAAAATGACCCAAAAATGTGTGAAAATGACCCAAAAATGAACAAAAATGACCCAAAAATGAGCGAAAATGACCCAAAAATGAGCAAAAATGACCCAAAACTGAGTGAAAATGACTCAAAATGACCCCAAAACACCCTAAAATGGAGCAAAATGACCCCAAATTACCAAAAAACAACCCCAGATTACCAAAAAATAACCCCAAAGTACCCCAAAATGACCCAAAATGGCCCCAAATCCCCCCAAAAATGAGGAGTTCCTGTGGGGCTGTTTCGCCTGAGGGGACCCCCCCAAAATAAACAAAAACACCCCAAAAACACCCAAAATGTGGGAAAATGACCCAAACGTGTGAAAACGACCCAAAAATGAGTGAAAATGACCCCAAAATGTCTGAAAACGGTGCAAAATGACCCCAAATGACCCTAAAAAGGAGCAAAATGACCCCAAAATGAAGCGAAATGACCCCAAATCCCCCCAAAATGACCCCAAATCCTCCCAAAACGGCCCCAAATCCAAATTCCCTCCCAAATCCCCCCCTAAAATGACCCCAAATCCCCCCAAAATGACTCCAAACCCCCTAAAAATGACCCCAAATCCCCCAAAACGACCCCAAATCCAAATCCCCCAAAATGACCCTAAATCCCCCAAAATGACCCCAAATCCCCCAAAACGACCCCAAATCCAAATCCCCTCAAATCCCCCAAAATGACCCCAAATCCCCCCCAAAATGACCCCAAATCCCCCAAAATGATCCCAAACAGCCCCCAAAAAATGGCCCCAAATCCCCCACAAATTATCCCAAAATGCCCCCCTCAAAATGTCCCCAAATCCCCCTAAAAATGACCCCAAATCCCCCTGAAAATGTCCCCCAAACTTGACCCAAATCCCCCCAAAATGACCCCAAACGCCCCTAAAAACGACCCCAAATCCCCCAAATCCCCCAAAATGACCCCAAATCCCCCAAAATGACCCCAAAAACCCCTAAAAATGACCCCAAATCCCCCAAAACGACCCCAAATCCCCAAATCACCCTCAAATCCCCCCAAAAATGACCCCAAATCCCCCAAAACGACCCCAAATCCTCCCAAAATGACCCCAAACCCCTAAAATGACCCCAAATCCCCCAAAACGACCCCAAATCCCCCAAAACGACCCCAAATGCCCCCAAATGATCCCAAACCCCCTAAAATGACCCCAAATCCCCCAAAATGGCCCCAAATTATCCCCAAATGCCCCAAAATTTCCCCAAATCCCCCAAAATGATCCCAACCCCCCCTAAAAATGACCCCAAATCCCCCAAAATGATCCCAAAATGACCCCAAACCCCCTAAAATGACCCCAAATCCCCCAAAACGACCCCAAATCCCCCCAAAATGATCCCAACCCCCTAAAAATGACCCCAAATCCCCAAAATTATTCCAAATCCCCCAAAATGACCCCAAATCCTCCAAAATGACCCCAAACCCCCTAAACATGATCCTAAATCCCCAAATCCCCAAAATGACCCCAAATCCCCCAAATGATCCCAAATCCCCCAAAATGATCCCAAACCCCTAAAATGACCCTAAATCCCCCAAAATGACCCCAAAATGACCCCAAATCCCCCAAAACGACCCCAAATCCAAATCCCCCCAAAACGACCCCAAACCCTCCTAAAAATGACCCCAAATCCCCCCAAAATTATTCCAAATCACCCCAAAATGACCCCAAATCCCCCAAAACGACCCCAAATCCAATTCCCCCAATCCCACCCAAAATGACCCCAAATCCCCCAAATGATCCCAAATCCCCCCAAATGACCCCAACCACCCTAAAATGACCCCAACCACCCTAAAATGACCCCAAATCCCCCCAAATGACCCCAAATCCCCCAAATGACCCTAAATCCCCCAAAATGACCCCAAATCCAAATCCCCCAACCCCCCAAACGACCCCAAATCCCCAAATGATCCCAAACCCTAAAAATGATCCCAAATCCCCAAAATCCCCCAAAATGTATCCTAAAATGACCCCAAATCCCCCAAACGATCCCAAATCCCCCAAACGACCCCAAATCCCCCAAAATGACCCCAAATCCCCCAAAATGATCTAACCCCTAAAAACGACCCTAAATGCCCCAAATGGCCCCAAATTATCCCAAAATGCCCCCTCAAAATGTCCCCAAATCCCCTAAAATGACCCCAAATCCCCCTGAAAATGTCCCCAAATTTGACCCAAATCCCCCAAAATGATCCCAAAACCCTAAAAATGACCCCAAATCCCCCAAAATGACCCCAAATCCCCCAATCCCCCAAAACGACCCCAATCCCCCAAATGACCCCAAATCCTCCCAAAATGGCCCCAAATCCAAATTCCCCCAAAATGACCCCAAATCCCTCCAAAATGACCCCAAACCCCCTCAAAACGGCCCCAAATCCAAATGCCCCCAAAATGACCCCAAATCCCCCAAATGACCCTCAAATCCCCCTAAATGATCCCCAAAACCCCTAAAATTGATCCCAAATCCCCCAAATCCCCCAAAATGATCCGAAAATGACCCTAAATCCCCCAAACGCATCTAAATCTCCACAAAATGTTCCCAAAATGATCCCAAGCAAATGACCCCAAATCCCCAAAACGACCCCAAATCAAATCCCCCAAAACGACCCCAAATCCCCCAAAATGACCCCAACCCCCTAAAAATGACCCCAAATCCCCCAAAATGATTCCAAATCTCCCCAAAATGACCCCAAATCCCCCAAAACGACCCCCAAATCCAAATGCCCCCAAATCCCCCCAAATGACCCCAAATCCCCAAAACGACCCCAAATCCAAATTCCCCCAATCCCACCCAAAATGACCCCAAATCCCCAAAATGACCCCAAACCCCCAAAATGACCCCAAATCCCCCAAATGACTCCCAAATCCCCCAAAACGACCCCAAATCCAAATCCTCCAACCCCCAAAATGACCCCAAATCCCCCAAAACGACCCCAAATCCCCAAATGACCCCAAATCCCCAAAATGACCCCAAATCCCCCCAAAACGACCCCAAATCCAAATCCCCCCCAAAATGACCCCAAATCACCCCAAAACGACTCTCAAATCCTCCAAATGACCCCAAATCCCCCAAAATGACCCAAATCCCCCAAAACGACCCCAAATCCCCCAAATGACCCCAAATCCGATCCCCCAAATCCCTCAAAGTGACCCCAAATCCCCCAAAAATGACCCAAATCCCCAAAACGACCCCAAATCCAACCCCCCCCCAAATCCCCCCAAAATTCCCCCAAATCCCCCCAAAATCGGAGCCTTTTTTTGGTTTTTTTTGGGAGTTCCTTTTTTTATTTGGTCCCTTCCGAGGGGGCGGGGCTTGAGGGGGAGGGGGCGTGGTCAGGACGCGCTGGCCCCGCCCCCTGAGGCGCAGGCCACGCCCACTGGAGGCGCCACTCGTCCGGGGCCAGCAGGGGGCGCTGAGTGTCCCAGCCCGACGCCGCCAGCCCTGAGGGCAATTAGCGCTAATTAGGGCTAATTAGGGGTGATCAGGGGTTAATAAGGGGCCGCTGGGGTAATTAGCGGTAATTAGGAGTAGTTAAGGGTGATTAGAGGGTAATTAGGAGTAATTAGGGGGTGATTAAGGGTTATCAGGGGGTCATTGGGGTAATTAGGGTCGCTGGGGTAATTAAGGGCTAATTAGGGGTAGTTGGGGTAATTAGGGATAATTAGGAGTGATTAGGGGTTAATTAGGGATAATTAGCAGCAATTAGGAGTAGT